TAAAATACAATTCCGTTATGCTTTTATGAAAAAGAAGTCCTTTACAGTGTCGCAGTATTTCTTTGTAGATAATTTTCTTCCGTGAGTTGCTATATCACCGAGCTACTTTATGAGATTACTCTGGAGTACGCCACATACAACTGGTCCTGGGAGAAACAGCCTTTTCTCAAGTCTACCCCTGCTACTTTATAAGCTTAGGAGCCTAGTGTCTGGTTATTGTGAAGCTTACTTTGAAGGGACGCTGTACTCTTTCAGATTCGAAGAGTTAAATTGATGGTATGAGCGAAGTCCTAGGAATGATTATAGTTTCTCTATGAAAACATGATATTACATTTCGATACAATACACTTTCACAAGTAATCTGTATTCCTTTTTGTAGATCAAACCACGAAAGTTGATTCGTCAGGCATTTATTTTAGTTGCTAAGAATTCGCAATAGAACCCTTGTCAAGTATCTGATAATTGGCATTTATAGTGGGCAGATCAAGTAACTTTTGTCATAGGTTGTTTCTTTGAGAGCTTTGATCGATGAGAGCGCTAATGTGAATCATTTCTCCCTTATGGAGGTTGGTAATATTTGCTGTGTGTGTGTGTGTGTGTGTGCATGTGGGAGTGTTTTCGCCTTAATGCTTTCATTTGTCTTTAAGTGTTTTTTAGCTCTTTTAAAGACACAGTGGCGCTTGGTAACTCTTTTATTGAGTTGAGAGATTGCACTTAAAGTGCTTGTATTTCATCTACAAGCGTTTAGCGGCAGCGATAGACTAGTGTAGTGTCCCAGCTTTCGGTGGATATTATTTTCACCTGTAGGTTAGAGGAGCAATTTTTGAAAGTTGCCAGGATTTGTTGTAACCTTTCTCTGTGCTCTGTGTGGGAAAATTGAAGGTTGAATAACATTTTTATCTTGGTCAGCAACTATTGTATTATTTTGCGATTTCCGCAGCGAAATTTGAGCGTATCCCAAGTTAGTGAAAATTGAGCAGACTAACTCTCCTTCTTGCTTTCAGTCTCCAGTGGTAAATCTTCAGCACTCGGTACAATTTGAAGTGATTGATAATACTGCAAAGAACTTGTGCCTGAATGAAGGCCAGTCTTCACATCATCTGTAGAAGACTTCTGTGCCATATGCAGGTATCTTGAGAAAGTTCATGATGGGGAGTTGTTTGAGCGGGAGTAATCCAAATTTTGGTGAAATCGATTACTCATACGAATTTTCATGAGCATGATGTTGCCACTCGTAGAGCTCTTTATATAATGAGCGGAATCTTTCATCATCATCCACGTTGCTCATTTTTAGGTTATTGTGTAGATGAGATAAATCTGTTCCTTCCATCTGAGATTTCGAGCGTAATAGGATGCCTGCAAGCGGATGGATGGTGGTAATTTCAAACAGTATACTGTCAGGTCAAGTAAAAAGTAATGCTTTATTTTGCATTAACATGAGTCGTCTTTATTTATTAAAGTTAGAATTATCCGATTTATGTTAAATATGCAACGATTTGCTCGATAAATTTTCAGCATTTCGAAGGCAACATCACCGTAGGCAGGAAATCACTTGGTGAGAGGTAGATGCATAAGAACCTCCCAGCCAAGCCTTCAGAGCTTCTGGCGAGTTACTATCGGTGTGTGTGTACACTGGCGTTGTGCTCACGAAACATAATTCTCTTCCTGTGGGTCAAATCTTGAGCTTCTTTTGTGCAATTGTTTCCTTCAGACGGTCCACTCGCTGACAGTACAGCTCCGTCTTGAGAGTAAGAGTACCCATATTAATGTAAGTATTTGGATAAGAATACCAGGTAAGTAGACAGGTGTACGTATAAATTCTCTCAGTAAAAATTAGTAATAAATTACAATATAATTTGAGAATTGTGAGTTTCGCTTCGCATATAAAAACAGAGTAAATAAAATAAAATTCACCCCAATGTATATTTTCCAATAGATGTTTATACAAAGTGCATTCCAAAGTAAAGTGGACTTTTAAAAGAAGGATAAAACAAAATGTTTTATTGCAGGTCGAAAGAGTGTTTTAGCTCGTTGCCCGGTATGGCTGCCAGTATGCCGGTGCAAGCCTTTTGAATGGCCTCCACGTCTGTATAACGCTTTCCTTTCATCGGCAAACGCATTTTTCCGAATAGTTAGAAGTCGCACGGTGCCATATCAGGTGAATACGGGGAGTGGTTGATTGCTAAAATGTGATTTTTGGTCAAATAATCGGTCACAAACGTCGATCGATGAGACGGCGCTTTGTCGTGCAGCAAACGCCAACTTCCAACTTCGAGATATTCGGGCCGAACACGTCGAATACGGCGCACCAAGCGCTTCAAAACTCCAACGTAGAATACGAATGATGATTTCGGCTGATTATTTATGAATTCACACACAGTTTCGATTGAATTTTCGGTGATGACGGATTTTGGTTGGCCCACATGTTCATCGTCATTTATGTCCTCACGACCAGTTTGAAAACGTTGAAACCACTCGTGCACTCTGCTACGGGGTAGGCAATCATCGCCATAAAATTGTTTCATCAATTGAAACGTTTCGGTAAAAGTGTTACCAATTTTAAAACAAAATCTAATGTTGGCTCTTTGTTCAAAGCTCATTTTCGCACCGATAACAAAAACATACTGACAATTAAAACGCAATAACTTCACTTCCAATAGATGAAATGTCATGAAATGTTTTACTACAATAGAAGTCGATAAAGGATTGCAGATTCTAACGCACTAGTCGACACATAGATGGCGCCACTAGAGGGCGCTAGATTCAAAAAGTCCTGTTTACCTTGGAACGCACCTCGGATGAATGTACATAAATACAATTTTTAGCGCCTGTATAAGCTTCCGAGTGTAAATCACCAGACACATTTCTCCCACATCTATGTATGTATGAACATACATATTTCAAATATCAACCAAATTACATCGCTAATGCTATTTCTTATTTTTCCAACGGGTTAATGATTTACTAATATTATGCGATGTGACTAAAGCAACGTGAGGATGGGCAAACTAGGTATCTTCAGAACAACAACAGGAATTGTAGCCCCCATGATGAAATATCCCCCAAATGGATTTAGATTGGGCCGCGAAAAATATTTACTCTTATATGTAGCACAAACTTCCAGAATGAGAATATTCACAAAATTACTTAGCTGTCGTCGTATTGAAAAGACATCAACCAGATCGATGATGTTATTATAGACATAAGACTTGTCTAGAACTCTCTAGAAGTGCGAGAGACGCCAGTTTCTAGCAGCAAAGCTCAACAAACACAAAGAAGGTACGACTACAAAAAGCTCTTATCCAAGCAGATAGCCTGCCGGTTGTCTACTCCTTCTTTATGACCGCCTTTATCAGGCACCCGATAAATGGAAAGGGGTTTTAAGCTACTTACCGACACAAAGACCTGAGCCAATAAGTTTTATATGTCGTGCTGAAATGGAGCGAAATCGTTCTCGCAACGGTGCGATCGACCAGAACGCTTGTGGGGGCGGAATAGTAATTGAAAGTAATGTAAATACGCATTTGTAGAGACAAAAAATTCAGCGAAAAAAAATAGATTCTCGTGTATATAATTGGTGCTTTGTAACCGCTGAAGTGATTTTCGTTCGAACTCCTCCTCCGATTTTTTTGGTTTTGCGTCTCGCTGTTTGTCCAACAAATGGAGGGACCCACGGTTTATTCCAAGCCGTCTCCGAACAGCAGTACGCAATGCTAACCACACGGCTACCGCGCCCGCCAAGCGGACAAAATACATGAGTATAAAGAGCTTGGGAAGTTATCGAACAGGAGCAATGCTCATAAATGCTAAGAAACCACGCGGTAACGCTAATGACCGATGTCCAAATCATACTGGGCTTATAAAAGAAACAATTTTGCACCCTGTAGATTGGCATGAAAAATGAAACACTCGGATCTGATAGACTTTAGACCCCAATTAATGATGATGAAAAAGACGTCACAATACCCGACTATGACGAAGATTAAATAGTGGCTGGGGCCGATGTCTTACTGGCTGAGCTACTCAGGGCATGCCAATAAAAAAAGGGGGAAGACAGAGTGAGCGAAGTCCAGCTAAGGGTATACAATTGTTAGCATATACTGATGATATTAACACTATTGGCCTTAAAAACTGCGCTGTTAGTTTTGTTTTCTCCAGATTAGACGACAAAGAAGGTTAGGTAATGAACGAAGGCAAGACGAAAGATCTCATGAAATCAAACAAACAGTAAGCTCATACGCATCTTTGTCGACAGTCATTGATTTCCCAGATAACTTCATCTATCTGGCCAGCAACAATCTCAACAACATTGTAGGCCTTTCACATGAGACCCTGGTCATATCGACATCGAGCGATCACCTGCAGAGAAAACAAGGCTTTTCAGTCAAGGATACATTGATACGCTCTTTGCCACAACTGGATTTGAGCAGGCTTTACAAAATAAACGAGTTTTGCGTCCAAGCTTTTCTTCGCCATGTAAACAAATACGACAGTCTCTCTTGTTCGTCAGTGTATCTGCTCCACTGCGATGCATTGGCAGCAAATTTGGTGTAATGTTTATTGGTTTTCCAAAGAAAGATTCAACAGTAAGTCGAGTTGTAATCTTGAGATATGACTTTTGGGTTGTTCATACGGTTTTCGACGTTTGCAAGAACCAATGATTTGGCTAATCTATTCAAAAATGAACTTCTCGCGTCATGTTTATGTAGCCCATCCATTTCCTTACAAATAAGAAACGATGCCAATGCCATAATATCCAACATACTGAAAAAGAAAGCCACAGTCCAACGGTTGGTCGGTCGTTTTGTTGAAAAATGAGTCGCCATTTGGTCCATGCAATCGACACCAGCTTTGTTGATATTATATTATAATACAGATTTGCTTGTGGTTTTTTCGCTTCGCCTCGACATTTGTTGTATAATGGAGGGTTGAAATCAAATTTACCAAATTTTCATGAAAACCAAACAAAGATGAGAGTAATGGACGCTGTGGAATTTTCTTCATTTCAGGCGGAAAAATGCTTTGTTGGCTCGAACTGTACCGACAAATGCGAGACGAATATTGGCCAGCCGTTTAGCTCCATTCGATGTTGTGAAAAAATTATCAGCAACAATCGTTCGTACACTGTGACTGTAATTTTTCGACAATTGTATCAAAACATTTTCGCCTTGATTCACCTCACGCTCGTTTCCTTCTTTGCCTGGGTATAATTTACCTTTCAATGGATATTTTGTCTTTGAATCGCATGCCCACCAAACTTTCATTCCATATTTAGCTGGTTTTGATGGAATAAACTGGGTGAATTCAGTTTTATCACGATATGGAAACAACTGCTCGTCGATGGTTACGTTTTCATGCGGCTCATAATTTTTGGCGAGGTTTTCGTTCGAATTCAAATTCCATATATCGCGAATAGGAGCCGCTTTGTCGGATGCTTGACGAAATGGACTTGATTGGCGTACGACTATCATCGAAACGAATATATCGGGCCAATGCAAGGAATCGCGCTATATGGCATAGCAGCACGAAAGATGGGCAAAGCATCTGAACGTCATAAAAGTGCTGACTCTTGCATATTATTGTTTGTAACACCAGCAGCAAAAAGTATACCAATAAATGCATCAAACTCAGTACTAGTCAAATCAACCCAAACTCTTGGCTTTGAATCTGGATTTTCTTCATTCCATTTTCGAGTAGCAATTTTTGCATTTCGATTTGTTTCGGTAAAAATAATGAATGAAATATTCGGTGTAAAAAAACTTTTGAATACCTCAATCGGAATCGATGTTGAAAGTTTTGGACAAGGTCTGAATCGCATATAATTATGCTGGTGCTTTACCAAAGAAACTTTCGGCCGTAGCTTCACGTTGAATAACTGGAGCGGTTGCATGTTGTTCTTCGTCTTCAATTTCCTCATCACTGTCCAGTATTTCGTTCGGTTCAATAACCAATTCGTTCTCAACATCTGATGTGTCACCATCCAGCACATAATCTAAATCTTTACTATCATCACCATCGTCGTAGTCGCTCAATGCAAGATTTTCTTCAACATTTTCTGAATTTCGATTGAAATCATTCACTAAAGCGTTGCCCAATCGAGAATAAAAATCGGTACTGGGACTTCTACTACGCAAACGTGTATAGGTGCTAGGCAATCATACATGGCAGTGTGAGTATGTAATTACAACAAAAAGAACGAAAAAAACCAGTACAATCATCAAAATCATACATATGTTTCCATACAAAATATAATATATAGGAGGCTGACCAGACACCGGGTGTCGAGCCGAAGGTGTATTTTTTTAAAATCCTGTTTTCATCCTTTTTTAAAAGGACAGGTATATGTTTTTATTGCATAGATCGATAGCCAATAAAATTTTAGGAGGTTGCCTAGGAGCACAATTCGCTATCTAAATTTTAAGTATGTTAAATTTATCGCCAAAAACGAAAAAGGTCTGGCCAGACGGATGTTTCGGACGGAGGGTTAAAAAGAAATCACTCTACAGCATAGCGGAAATTTTGTAAACCTGGGTGAATCGTACTAGAAAAATATCAAGCGAAATGTTCTCCTTAAAAAGAGAAAGCATCGCCAAGGTAATAAGGCTTCTTGAAAGGGCGATATCCACAAAGACTGAGAGCTTTAAAAATAAGGAGGAGAAGAAAACCATTATCCATTTTCTATGGCTCTGCCGAGTGGTTAGCATTGCATATTGCCATTGTGCAGTACAGGGTTCGAGTCTTAGTTCGACCAACATCCGAAACTTGTAGAAAATTTATTTTTCTAAATACCGTCGTTCTCGGCAAGGACTGTCAATCCCTTCGAGTGTATTTCTGACATAAAATAAAAACTGTTTATAAAAAGCTAACGACCTTTTGGAAGCGGCTTAGCATAGACTGTTGGTCCCTACGCGCACACCACAAATCGGAGGGGGAACTCGTCCGAAAGCCGCTTCAGCGCTCACAAATGTATGGTTTACGTCATGGAAATCGTTGTAAAGTGAATAATTAAAAAATGGCTTATTTAGCGAAGTGGCTTGAAAATTGTGTCAATGTTGAACGTTATTTCGTCGTCGATGGGCAACCAAAAATTGTGTGCATTAATTTTAAACAAAGTTTTAATCCCATCCTGTCTTGTCCCATCTTGTGTCTTGTATGATTTCAACATTCGCCTTAAAAAATCTGCGGATTGTCGGCTGGACGGCTTACGCAGCTCTACGCTTTTCGCAACGCGTAATCAACAAAAGCTTCGCCTTTTGAACTTGCAATCTGATTGGCTATTCACGGTCACGAAAAGCTACTAAGTCACTTCGGCAACTTCGTATTTATGGTGGCTTATGACGGACTTATCTTTGTTTCACACACACACACACACACACACACACACACACACACACACACACACACACACACACACATATATAGATGTGAATAAATATAATCACGTGCGTTGACCGGCAACCATGTGATTTTGCTGACGAGGATGGTACTTTACTGATATTGCTATTGTTGTGAAACTACAAAATGAAGAAGAAGTGTGTTCGGACGAAGTATCCGCAAACTCATATGTATGCACGTACGGCCTTATCATTTTGTTTATATTATGATCGTGTTTTTCTATTATTTTGTTATTTACTAAGCCTTGGAACCACAATAATGCCACAGCTACATACTCGTACATACATACCAACATACCAACATATGCACAAATATGTAGTCGGCTTGAAGCGGCAAACGATTGGCCAGATTTGTGATTTTACATAAACCCCGGGTAAGAGCGAAGTAAGTGCAGTCGGTGCTGGTCGCCAAATAAGGCAACATTCGCCAAATACGGAATATACAGTAATTATTGTTACAAAGTTAATTGTCAGCAAACGGATTGAGAGTACGTCGTCCTGCTCAGTTAATTTTCAATACCATGTTTTTGTGTGCATCCTAAAATAAATAATTAAAAAACAGAGAACAATTTGTTTTGTGTATATCAAAATCAAAAAAAAAAAAATAAATAAATAAATAAAAATTAATAAATAAATACGAATAACATAATTATCCAATTCTGTGATAGTGTTGTGCTGACTCCTTTAAACTACAAATATAGATTTAAAAACAAAACTTTTCTACGGTTTTTTTTTGGAATTTAATTATTTACTCAAAACGAAGAAATGCCTTCAACCACTTTGGGTAACAACGATGACCTCGCTTTGGTCATCGATGAAGAGCTTGCACTGCAATTGACCGAATCCCAAGCTGAAAAGGGTGAGGATGTGCTTGCCAACCGCTTGGAGGATATTAGCGAGCATTTGAAGCAAATAAATCAACTCAATCAATTTATGCAATTGACCGAAGAATTAAATGAGCACAAGAAAAATGAAGCGGGACCATCCACATCGAGAGGTTGTCCAATAACGCATATGCAGCGTCCCATACGTTTGAAGAATATTGAAGGAAAACCGGAAGTGTATGACAAATTGCATTTGAAGGCGCAAGAGGTAAGTTGAAGAGTGCATAAAAAGGCTTCAAATGTTAGCTGCAAAAAAAAAAAAAAAAAAAAAAACAACAAATAATGCTCAGTAACGAAGAACTTTTTTTTTTGTTATTTGAACGCAGATTGTGAAGTTTTGTGACCGAAATCTTGTTTTAGAAAATTGCAGGATTCTGATCTTTGTTTTAAATTTTTATAGCCATTTTAAATTTTAAATATAAAAAATAGTTCTATATTAAAAATAGAAATAAATTTTATGATTTATTATTTTTTTCATTTAAAAACCAAGTTTTAAAAAATCAAATCCCCAAAAAATTGTTCGGGGAAGAGTGGGAAACAGTCCGATGTCTAATTTATAATCGGCGAATTCAAAAACAGCTGAACTTTTTACAATTTTTTAAACAAATATAATAAAAATCTCAAAATTGAATTTAAAAATTAAAAATTTAAATTAATAGTCATATTTTAAATTTTTATTTACAAATCAACTCTTAATTAATATTTTTTATTTTTATTTTAAAATTTTTAATTAATTTTTAATATTAAAATCTACATGTACAAACTATCTTTTATTGTATATTAGAAATAAAAATAAATTTTGCGATTTATTTTTCTTTTATTTAGAAACCAAGTTTTAAAAAATTAAAGCCAAAAAAATTTTTCGGGGAAGAGTGGAAGACAGTCCGATGATGTCTAATTTATAATCGGCGAATTCAAAAACAGTACACACTTTATTTCCAATTTTTTTGTTAAAAAATGAATAAAAATAATTTTTGATCCTAAAATTTATTTTAAAAAAAGCTAAAAAAAAATTCTTAAATTTTAAATTTCAAAAAAATAAAATAAAATAAAAAAAATATTAATAATGTATAAATTGTTAATTTTTATTTACAAATCAACTCCTAATTTATATTCTTGATTTTTAATTTAAATTTTTATAGCAATTTTCAATTTCAATTATTTTTAAGAATTATTTTTTATTTTAAAAATAAAAATAAAATTTTTTAATTTTCTATTTTTTTTTATTTAAAAATCAAATATTAAAATTATGAGTTGATTTTTATAACAAAAAGCAAATATGAAAATCATAATGAACTCGGTTATTTTGATATTCAAAGAAAGTCTACATTTCTTGAGATAAATGACCCGGTGTTTATTTCAATGTAATGAGCAAAATCTGCCATCAATAATGGCAAAAAAAAAATCAGCCAAATGGCCACCACGGCTATGCTAACGATACCGTACCATTTTTATGAAATTCTCCATCACCAAATCGCAAACTGGCTGCTGTTTGAACCCAATGGCTACACGAATTTCATCTTTGCAGTCTTGAATCGACGTTGGCCTGTTGACATAGACTTTAACTTTCACGTTTAATGGTCACGTCGCAAGGTTTTAATTTTCGAAAAAGTAACGTGCAATGACACCGCTGTACCATAAACCGCACCAAACAGTTACACGTTGAGGATGGAGAGGCTTATCAATAATAAAACTTGCGTTTTCCAACCTCTAGATGCGAAAGTTTTGCTTATTGATGTAGCTTTCGTGGTGGCAATTTAACAATTCTAAGGCATTATTGAAGCGCGTATCGTTCCATTTTTATTACCGGCGTAGTTTTTGCTCAAAAAATGTCAAAACCCTTTATTATTTGACTCAATTCGCCAGAAGGAAAGAGTGGAAAGATAGCTTTATAGTCAGGCCATTTTAAAAACAAAAAATTCTGCGCAAAGATCTTCGAGTTCAAAGAAATTTAACTCAACTTTATGCTAAAAGAAAAAAAAAAAAATAAAAGAAGAAAACAATCGATCTGTAACAATTTGAAAAATTTTCTTCTTGAGGATGAGGAGGTGGAAAAACCTGAAAGTATCATGAAGGTAGCCCTAAGAGGTTATCATAAGTTGGCTAATTGCAAATCGATTTCTGAAAAAATTCAGAAAAAAATTTTTTTTTTGCAAAACAACATATAACGAAACGCATCAAGATGGGCTCACAATGTGACTTCCGACTTTTATACAAATCTAAACGTGTTTTTTTTTTTTTTTTAATAAAGAACATTTCTAAAATCGTGGAAGTGTTGACAGATAACTGCTTGATAGAAAAGGCGGTTCCTTTAAGGGGCAGAAGCAATCTTTCCTGCCTTGGTCAGAAAAATTAATGAAATTCAGACGGAAATCGAAGTGGATTCTCAGTTTAACTCAATGTACGTACCACAATAAGCCTACTCCTGACTAGGTTTCTTTTTGACCACAAGCCCAACGTTATCCACCTCCCGCTTAACCGACCGTGGAGCGCGCCTGAAGGATAATCGTAAAAGCCAACAGACAGGCGACTGATAACCACTGACAGTCTGGACTGCGCTGAATCAGAAACCGATTGGGGAAGGTAGCGGTTACACTTACCTCTTACACTCTTCGGTACTACATGGCATAGCCAGCGTTGCCTTGTTTCTTAATTCGCTGACATATGCGTATGGTAATGTCGCCATATATAGTGTTCTGTTTAATCATCTTCTGTCACCTCGTCACCTTTGATTTTGACAGTGCTTTTGGTGTTGCTCTGTGTCAGTTTACACAGTCGTTTAAGTTTGCGGGAATACAAAACTCAGATATAACAACAAAGAAACAACTCCTACCGGCAACCCACCACCTGTACTATTGCCGCAACTTCGTCCAAATGGAACTTTAAATTAAATTTTATTTCCTCGAGTAGATCCTCTTTCCAGAAAATCCATTCTTATCGGATTCCTACGCCATACGCAGAAGAAATCCTCCAAGTTTCTGCTCTCCACGATCAGTGGTTTAGTTTGTGGGATGATCAAATACTTATTCAGCACTAGGCCTTTTATATATGTACCTTCTAATTACTGAAACGATTTTGTTTTTGCTCTATATACATATATACATATTAGTGATTTTTTATATTTTCCACTTCAGAATTTATCTTGCAACAACTCGAAATGTATGAGCAGTGTTATGGGTTTCTATACTGCTTCCTTGGAGCCGCGTCCACAACAAGATGTACTTGATCAAGCGAAGGACTTCCTAGAACAATATTTTACTTCAATGAAAAAGTAAGCTCAACTTTTTTCCAAAATCTCCACAGTTTTTCTTTTCGAAGTGTTCATTGTTTTTTTTATCTTACAGAGCCTCTAGTCCTCGTCATGAAGCTAGATGGAATGAAGTGCAGAGGAGTATTGAAGCCACCGGTGAATATCAATTGACCGAAGCTGAGCTAACTTTTGGCGCTAAGGCAGCTTGGCGTAATGCTTCACGTTGTATTGGACGCATTCAGTGGTCCAAATTGAAGGTAAGACAGAAGAAATGTTTGATAAAAAATGTGCAACATCTGGACTAGATGTTGTTGTTATTATTATTATTGTTATATTGGCAAAAAATATTCCTCAAAGTGGTTTTCTGGTATAAAGTTTTGATTGGCGCGTGAACTATTGGGTTTTAGGCGCCTCTTACGACAGGCGTGTCTCACCAGTGATGAATTCCTGAACCACAAGCCCACATTGGTCATAATTTTTTTTTTTTTTTTGTTGCTGCTGTTTGCTTTTTAATGAGAAGAAAAATTTAAAATCTCGAAACTAATAATCGCGAACGTCGTGAATTAAAATTGTTTGTAGTCCAAAGGCTCGGAAAAACCGCGTGTAGAGGCTCACACTAGTGAGGAAAGTTTTTGACATATGGCTGTAGTAGCTCACGAATTCCGGCCTCAGACCAAGTACTCTCTGGATAGTCAACAACCAACATAAATTTGAGGACATAATGTGAGAAAGTCATCCTCCTGCTACGGTAGCGTTTTGGCTTTGGGACCCACCACATGAAAAACATACTCTAATAAAAAATCAAATGATGCTTCGGTTGAGGGACCTCCCTTTTGATGACCACTCCGCAAATGCTTTAAAAAGCTTGATCAACGACCATATGAAGGAGCGCTAATATGAAGTTTGGCTCTTTGGTGGGAGAGAGGCTCTGGCAACAAGTACTGACATTCATTGCAGCGGATGAACGTCTAACAACATCCACAGAAAAGTGAAGTTTTTTCACATATCTTTAAATAAGAAAAGGACGATGTGACCATGGGAATTTTCTAAGAGCATCCAGAGCACGCCTGTGAGCACTGCCTCTCCGCAATGTGTAAATTGTGGGGGCGACTTTAATGTCAGGGGGAGCAACGAACGAAATAATTGGCTTTCGCCAGGGCCAGAAATAGAGCTGGTGCAATGAAAAATATTGAACCGCAATGGAGATAAAATCCATCATTGACCATAAGTCAAATCTTGGAAGAGATCCGTGAGGAAAACATTTATATACACCAGCTTGTCATCGATTTTTAAAGCTGCCCTCCACAATACAGAGCTCCACTGCTTCTACGCCGCAAAGTCTTAATATGGTATCGCCGCTAAACTAAACTTTAAGATATATCAAAAGCTCAGTCAGGATCGGAAAGGAACTCCCCAAACAAGGTTTCAGATAAGGCAATTCCATATCGTGCGACTGGAGAAAATAATAAGAGCTACAGAGCTTAATAGAGAAGGTCTTGATGATCTTTATATCATTGGCCTTAACAACCGTTAGTTTTTACTTCTTGGATAAGCAAGCGAATCGTATGGGTCTAATAGTAAATGAGGACAAGACAAGAAATATCTCCTATCGTCAAACAAAACAGCCGGCATACTTGCGTCTTGGCTGTAGATAGCCATTGCTTCGAGTTCGTAGAGTATTTCGCCCATCTTAGATTCAGCATTAACACTAAGAACAATGTCAATCTTGAAATACAAAGCAGAATCATTCTGTCGCTAATTTGGATTGAGTTAGCAATTTTAAAGTAAAGTTCTCACTCGACCATCCAAAGCAAAACTCGACGAGTCCCTCATCATTGCCGTTCTGGTATATGGTGCAGCGGAAAAGCGAACGATGTCGACATCCGTTGAGCAGGCATTAGGAATCTTCAAGACAAAAGTTTGATGATGCCTTTGCGCATTGGCAACGGCGAATACCGTAAACAATGTAAGAGCTGTTCGAGTTAGACGGCGACATAGATCTGGTTCAGTGAATAAGGAGACAGCGGCTACGTAGGCTAGGTCATGTCGTATTGTCAATGCAATACACGCTGTTGGAAGCATAGAAAGAACGAAAGCTCCACTCCGTTGGAAGGATAAAGTGGAGACCGACTTGGTTTTACTTGGTATTCACAACTGGCGCCGTCGAACAGCAACGAGAAGGAACGTAGGGCCTACTGTTGTTGATTCGACTAATATTACGTAAGCGCTAAGTTTTCTCAAAATTCTTTTATACTAAATATGCAGGAAAATAAAATAAGGTAAATAAACATGCACTCGTGATAGCCATAACAACATTCACATAAATCTGTACCGGAACTGAGTTGCTTTGTGCCAATATATATGTATGAAGAATATGCTCTTCGCACAAAGAAAGCCCGCTAGAATCGTTGACAACAGATTTCGAAAATTCACTATCAGCATAATTTTATGAAATATTATACCAACACGCAAACAAATTGATTTACTGTCACTAATCTCTTAATATTTTTAGGTATTCGACTGCCGTCATGTAACCACCACTAGAGGTATGTTCGAGGTCTTATGCAATCACATCAAATACGGCACAAACAAGGGTAATATTCGGTAAGTCCAATTCAATTGATACGAACAAATCTAAATATATTTGCATACATACATACTTACATACGTGTATAAATGAAATATGACAACATAATCATATACAAATGTATGTTTATTGTGTTAGAAATTTTGTTTACATATTAAAAAATTGTAATTGTTTTTTAAAGTGTCTTAAACTGTCGTTATGCCGATTTGTCAGTATTTTATGCTAAAGTGTTTTTTATTGATTTAATTCTATATGTGCATATGTACATATGGGTAGATGTACAATATATGTATATAATATAATATTATGGCGCTAGTTGTTGGTGATAAGACAGCATCACGTGCTGTGCAATAACTAAGAAACGCTCCAATAGTCACAAGGCAAACGCTATTAAAATTAATCTTAATTTCTTGGAAATTAATAAGAATGAGTCGTTTAGGCTAAGCATCTTAAATTTATTTTCATGAAACACTTTATGTAGTAAACATGACGGGCGCTCTAATGAAAAATATTAAACAAATTTGCACATAAATATTTACGTAATTATTTTAAATGAAATTTAAAAATTTGATTAGTAATTTTGGCAAACGAAATTAAATTGAATGAAAAAGTGTTTTTTCGCTATAAGAAATTTCATCTTCAGTGTTACGTTGGGTCACACGAGCCGTTTCTCGTTAATATTAAAAAAAATAATAATTATCGATTGCTAAAAAATATAATACAATAAACAATTAATTGCTTACACACGTACTATTTTGAATTTGAGAAATTATTAATAACAAGCATATACATATATTAGGTTGTATTGCATTGTAAGTATTATTTGAGACCTTAGTGTTTTTTAAAATATTAAACTGCTCAGTTAATTTAATTGAGTTTAATTTTTTATTTTGCTTTATTATATTATTGTTTCATTATATTTTCATTTTATTGAAATTTATTATATTGAGTTTTTTTATTTTCTGCTTTTACTTCAATTTTTTTATTTTATTATATTATATTAAATATATTTAAATTTATTCAATATATTTTATTCTGCTTTATTTCTGGTTATACTAGTTTAATTATATTAACTTAAAAAATTTTTATTTTATTTTTTAGGCTTTTATTTCATGTTTTATTATTATTTTTTTTTTCAATATTATTATGAGATTTTATTTTATTTTGTTTAGGCTCTTATATTACTTTATTTTATGTTTTATTGATATTTTATATTTCAAAAATATTACGTTAATCTAATTTATTTTATTTTACTTTAAATATTTTTTTTTTTCAAAATTATTATGTTATTTTATTTAATTTTTTTCAGGCTTTTATATTACTCTATTTTATGTTTTATTGATATTTTATATTTCAAAAGTATTAAGTTATTTTAATTTATTTTATTTTACTTGTAATTATTTTGTTTATTTATATTATGCCTTATAAAATTTTATTTTATATTTATATCTTATTTAAGCTAACATTTTTAATTTCATTCCTTTACACTTAATTTTATTTTCTTTAATACAGTTTATTTAAATTAACTTAATCTGAATGAACATTATTTTGTTCCATTTTTATGTTATTAATGTCACTTTATTTATATTTTATATCTTTCATTTTTCGTATTCTACTTTATTATTTATAATTTATATTTTTTAATTGTATTTAAATTAATTAATTTTTTTTTTGCTTTATATTATTTTGTCCATACTCATACTCGTAGTATATAATGTTATATTATTTATTTTATTTTATTATTATATAATTTTTATTATTAAATTATATTTTATATTTATATCTCTTTTCATTTTATTGTCTTTAATATAATTTAATTTAGATTAATTTTATTCCATTTCTTAATAAATATAATGTAATAATATTAAATTGTTTTGTTTTCTTGGATTTCATCTCATTTTGGTTTTTATGTTATTTTATTTCATACTAAATTAAAATTAATAGTTTTTTGAATTATTATATTTTTTCAAATGAAGTATCTTTACTTTAAATATTTTAATTCTTAATAGTTTATTATATCCATTTTTTTCATATTATTATTTTCGTTTTTTTTTACTAAATATTATTTCGTTTTATTGTATAATTTTATGTTTCATTCCTTTGACTTTATTTTGTTTAATATTTTTTACTTAGTTTTTTGTTTGTTTTTGTCAATTCTTCTTATTTTATTTTTGATTTTTTATTTTATTTTGCTTTGTGCAATGTTTTATTTCATTTTATTTTATTTTATTTGAATCTAGCTTAATTTATATTGTTTTTTTTTTTAATTTAATTTTATTCACTTTTTATTAATATTTTACTTTATTTGATATATTATATTTTATTTATTTATTTATTTTATTTCATTTTATTATAATTTATATTTATATAATTTTCTGATTGTTTTTTTGTTACATCATATCATTTTATTTCCCTTTAGTTTGTTTTTTTATTTTATTTTATTTGATTTTATTTTATTTTATTTTACTTTATTTTATTTTATTTTATTTTTTATTTTTTATTTATTTTATTTTATTTTATTTTATTTTATTTTATTTTATTTTATTTTATTTTATTTTATTTTATTTTATTTTATTTTATTTTATTTTATTTTATTTAGTTTATTTTAATTTATTTCATTTTAATTAATTTTGTTTTATTTTATTTTATTTTGGTTTATTTTATTTTATTTCATTTATTATTATCTCTTAATTTATTTCCTATTTTTGGCTTATTTAAGTTAGTTTGTTTTGTTTTAATATATTTAATTTTATTGTTGTATTGATTTATTTTATTTCAGTTTTATTTCTTATTTTCATATTTATTACTTGAATAAGTACAAACCTCTCCCCTTTTTATTTGAAGTAATAAATTTTTTATTTAATTTAATTTAAATTTTACTTAATTTTTTAATTTCTGTTTTTTTTATTTTTTCCCCTCTCAGTTCTGCCATTACAATATTCCCTCAGCGCACCGATGGCCTTCACGATTATCGCATTTGGAACAGTCAGCTAATCTCCTATGCTGGGTATAGACAGAGCGACGGCACTATTGTTGGAGACCCTATCAATGTTGAGTTTACAGATGTAAGTATTTGAGTATGTGTATGTGTATGAGTACAATAATTCAATGGCAATCAAATTAATTAATGAAATTAAGATTAAAATGTGTTTTTCATTGCCCTCGACCTTCATTCTTCAATCATAGAGATATTTGTGTTTTTAAATAATTTTTTTTGATTAATTTTTGAAAAATAATTTAACTGCGTTGGTTATGTAATATTTAAGTTGTAATAAATACTTAGTTCCTCTTATATGTATATGAATAAAAGTATAAATGATTATTTTCTTTCTCATCCACCAGGTTTGCTTAAAGATGGGCTGGAAAAGTAAGGGCACAGAATGGGATATTCTGCCGTTGATAGTATCAGCTAACGGTCAAGATCCAGAACTGTTCGAATATCCATCAGATTTGATATTAGAAGTGCCTTTTTCTCATCCAAAGTGAGTATAACTAGGTCTATTGCACGTATATTTAAAAATACAAGACTTAGAGCAAGATAATTACAAAACATATAATATAATATGTGTACATACATACCAATAAATCAGTAATAGAAAAGTTCCTATGTTCCAGTGTTAAAATAGTTTTCTCATAATTTCATTAGAAATTTGTATAAAATAGTACGCTAAAATTAAACCCACAAAAGCGCACATATATTATATATATGTATTTATAATAAAAATATTATGCTGGCAAACATCGAATATTAATTCCATCAAAACCTCAACAAAGCGCGCAATTTTAGGTTTCCGAAAAATGCTTCAAATGTAAGCGCCATTTGATAGAATGTAATATGATAAATCTCCATGAAATAGATTAAATTCAAGGCCATTGTTGGAAACGTATGAACATAATTTGCATACTTAAATCTCTCTTTAATGTAATACATATACAAGGTGTGTTCAAAGAAAAAAATATTTATCACCAATTCATCATTTCTGCTTTTACAGGAGATTTTCTGGCATATAATGCACATACTCGTAGATGTTCCGTTGTGGACTTTCTATAATGTCCTTGCGGTCTTTCGGTACCTTTTGCATTCGGTCTTAAGTGATCTTGCGGACATTTTAGTGGTTGAAGCATGATAATGTTGAATTAATCAATGATAAGTAATTTTTTTTTCAGTCAAATACGAGAAATTTGAAATCACAACTCGTTTTTGAATACACCTCGTATACAAAATATAAAAAACACACAGCCAAAGGAAACTATTCTGATTTACACATACGTAGAATAATGTTGAACATACAAGCATAGGTTGCAAGCACTGTTGGTTGCGACATTGCCTTCAAACCGTCATTGATTCACCTCCCAACACAGTATGATTCAACCGCACTGTATTAGCACAGCGTGACGTAGATGTTCGTCAATCTATTAAGCCGCGAACATTTCGTAGGTTATGTATGTATTTGTATGAAGAGTATTTAAATTTTTGCGTTGGAGGGTATTTAAACTAGTATGAATGGATATGAATATTAAATATTTAAGGCATATGATTGATATTCATATCTAACCATTATGCCAACAATTATTGCAGATATCTGAAACATATTACAGACATATGTATATAATTGTCGGAAAAATTTGAAACTTAAGGCTCTAGCTCCTCAAATGTCTGAAAAATATCTTTTTATAAAGTATATCTGCTTCCTTCTTGAAAATGAAGTATTCAACAAGTTTCAAGTTTGATACTACTTTTCGACCCATGTATGATAGATTGTATTTTGCATGAGTATACAGTATATAATATTATTGCCTTCCTCTTTTCGCCATGAAATAAAATGAGTATGAGAAATTAATAAAGGCATTCCACATTCTGTTTGATACTTTTTGAGCATTAATTAAGCGATCTTGTCATATATTCCCTCTTTTTTTTTTTAGATACGAATGGTTTGCTGAGCTTGGTCTGCGGTGGTATGCTCTACCCGCTGTCTCATCGATGATGTTCGACGTTGGCGGTATTCAATTCACAGCTACAGCATTCAGCGGTTGGTACATGTCCACAGAAATTGGTTGTCGCAACTTGTGCGATACAAATCGACGAAATATACTAGAGGTGAGCAATTAACTCATTTGGTGTGTGAGTGAACATTCAACTATTTTCACTAATTGCTCAAGGAGAATAATGTTTGAATATATTTTAAGTATTGTTCAGAAGCTTCAATGAATACATTTTTACAAGAACCGTAAGTTTGGTTCTTTTCTGTGGGAAATAAAATAAAACTTCCATTTTTGAGTAAGCAAATTTGATCTCTGAGCTTGAACTCTAGCAGATTTAGTTATTATTTCATCATTATTATTATTATTTTTTACTACTTTTCTTATAAGTCTCTATGTATTTTTTAATTTTTAATTTTTTCCTCTTCTTCAAGACCGTTGCAAATAAAATGGAACTTGATACCCGCACCACTTCATCTTTGTGGAAGGATAAAGCTTTGGTTGAGGTCAATTTGGCCGTTTTGCATTCTTTCCAAACACGCAATATCACCATCTTGGATCATCACACGGCTAGCGAGAACTTTATGAAGCATTTCGAAAACGAATCCAAAATACGGTGAGTTCAAAACCCAACTTTTTTTTAAATATTTTAGTAAATGAAACTACATAAAAAAAGTGACTTCTGCGATTTGAGATATTCCAAAAAGTTGCGCATTATTTCAAAATTTTTTCATTTTTTTTAAACAAATAAATAAAATAGAAAATTTTTCTTTTATTAATTATGCAATTTAAAAAACATTTCATTATTTTAAATAATGGCAATTTGGATTTTCTCCATTTCAGCAACGGCTGCCCAGCTGATTGGATTTGGATAGTTCCTCCACTATCCGGTTCGGTAACACCGGTCTATCATCAAGAGTTCTCCCTTTACTATTTGAGGCCATCATTCGATTACCAGCATCCTGCTTGGAAAGTACATGTTTGGGAGAAAGAACGCGGTGAAATTAAACCCAGGCGGAAATTCAACTTCAAACAAATTGCAAGGTATGATTATCCACTCAATTATCAATTAATTATTCATTCAGATAAAGACGGTCCCAAGCGAACTGTAAAGTCTTCAAATAAAAGATTTAAAAATATATACAGGGTTATTCATCTTGCGGTTTGAAAAATTAATGTAAACAAAATGTATGTGAAATCATTTTTTATGAAACTCCCTTTTACCTATAAAGTTCGGGAAATTCAATTCAATGTGAAGCACTACATCATTCAAATGACCAACTCGCGAATTTTTGCAAATTTCAATCCTTTTGAGTTAACTTTCTTTCACTTTTTGACACGGTATCGGTATCTCACTCATAACTTGACGAATGTTGGCTTTTCAAGTGCTCAAGAGTTAAAGGTATATTCGCATAAACACAGTCTTTCGCGTAGCGTCACAAAGTAAAAACTCTAACGGTGTCAAATTACACGATCTCGGTTACCAATTGGCATCGCTACGACGAGAGATTCCACCACCGGAAAATACTTCTCGCGATAAAGCCATATTCGTATGTGTTGCGTGGCATGTGGCACCATCTGATTGAAACCACATATTGTCTAAGTCATGTTCTTCAACTACAGGCAAAGAAGTCGGTTATAATGCGATTAACACGCACCGAAGTTACAGTGACAGTCTCGGCGTTGTCGTTTTCAATCATACCTCCAGTCCAAATAGCGCCCTGGATAGCAATTTTTTCGGCATCTTATCAATTATTTCGTATTTGGGGGGAATTTCGGAGGCCTTCCGTTCCACTTTCACTCACAGTAACAATATTGGAGTTTTGATAGATGTCAAAACAAAGACCTGTACTTCTGAAACGAGGAAATGTGTAATCCACTATATATTATATGATGACTTTGGTTAAGAATCTGCAGAAACTCTGTTTTTGAATTTACTTCGAATTGGATATAGTGAAGTGCAAAGTAAAAAGTCCATTATGTCATTTCCATTAGGCAAGTATGATGACCTGAAAAATTAGCTAGGGATTACGGTAGAGCCTGCTATTTGAACGAAATTTTCTAGCTATAAAAATAAGTTGCTTTCGAATATTTCTTCTTTAAGAAAATTTTCACAAAAACAACTAAATAACTTCATGTTTACAACTAAAGAATATCAGTGCACTTGATCGTGAAAGTCGAAAACAGCTACAACACAGTAAACCTGGCGGCTAATGGCATAACCAATGGTTCGTGCTGTGAACATCTCAAGTTCGGATCCAGTTCGTATAAAGGGAAAAAAGTATGATGATGGAAACGTGTTGGTTTTCGTAATATCAGCTATATAGTACCTTCGACCATCGTTGTGTTGTTTTTTTTTCACTATTGTTGTAATTTTTTCACTATTCCAAGAAAAAAAAATTGATAATCTGAGTTAGTTCCTTAAAATTAAATAATCAAAAAAAAAAAATAAAAAAAAATTGGCCTTTTCTCAAATAAATGAGCATTTTGTAAGATAAACATTTCAAATGAAATTTAGCGGCTGGCATCAGAGTTATGTAATGAGTCTGTTTTACGCTTCTGATAGTGATCCATAAAATTTCAAATAAGAATGTGTAGTAGTGAGTTGGTGAGTTAAAGGCCACTGCTCTGATCCACTCAAACCCACATTACTGTTTTGAACTTTTAAATAGTATACTTAAAATAGTATTCAACTCGACTGCAGCGTCACACTTTAAAATATCCATCATTACTATGATCCATCTGTTATCAGCAACTTATGTTGGGATAAGCGTGATTTACCAGTATTCAAATACAGTATTCGTTGTATAAAAACTCGTCAGAGTGATCAAACTTCATTTATGTTTTTAAGTGTGGGCATGAAGTGATTTTCATCTATAAAGCAGGATATGAAGTTCAACCTTGATCCAATAAACACGGGTGAATATGAGTACAAAGGTCTACGGAATCAACTCCATCCACTCCAGTATTCATTGCGGATATCTGGTCGGCACTACATTCATGTATTTTTTCACTTCTCATATTTTTAACCATCTGCGGCCTGGTAATCTTGCTTATTAAGCTCATCAAGTTCAGCATTAACCGCATTAATTATCTCATCGTTGCTTTTGGAGACCTTTCCTTTTTAATTTTTTTTTTAATTTTTGGAAACAACCAGAAATCACAAGGTTCTACATCCGGAGAATATGATGCTGGACGCATTTCTTCGATCCCAGAGATCGCAATAAAATTACTCGTTATTTCAGCAGTTAGGGATGGTGCGTGGTCATGATGTAAAAAGTAGCGCCGCAAATCCTCTTTCTTTCTGTTTTCGAACGAATTTTCGGAGACTTTTGGTTAGCGCTCGTCGGTGTACTATTTTGCAGTTAACGCCTGACCCTTTTCCAGTGGAATAACTGCTACGATTTTCAATCGAGTAAAGCAAACTGACATCCTTTGATACTTTTGCTGCTGATTTTTTTACCTAAAAATTACTGGTAGGTTTGCCCATGTTGGGCTCCATACCATGGACTGCTGTTTGGTTTCTGGTTCGTACTTATAGAACCCAGATTCGTTGTCAGTTACGACTTTAATAAACTTGCTTAACTGATCATTTTCGAATTTGTTTAGGAAAATTTTAGCACTTTTTACACTCCAGCTTCATTTAAAATTCGTGTTACCCATCGAGCAGATTTCTTCGTGTATCTCAGATGATAACTTAATATTCGCGATGCAGTCATGGTATTCAAGCCCAATTCATGAGCATTAATTTCTTGTGTCAATCGTGGGTTTTTGGTCAATCTTGGACTTCACGAGAGCTACAGTGATGTCATCAATAGAAGATTTTGGTCGAGCTTCGGCGGGCATGTCGTCTACGGAGAAATGTTCGGTCTGGAATAACTTTAAAGACGTTGAAGTCGTTCCATATGCAATTTGACATTCACTGAGTATTTGTTTTGTCTATAAATTACGCTGAAACATGAAGAGAATCGCATGAAGAATTTCTCTTTGCTTTTGTGGTGGATTTTCGTCTGGCCTATCCTTAGCTATCTTGCGTTTTCTCGTCTCCATTTTGGCCGGTAGTTCTAAAATCTGAAAGGAAGACTAATAAAGTAATGGCAAAGGATTTGGTATATTTAGATTTAACAAAAACAAATTGAAATTGAACTTTTGTTAATCCCCTCGTATATCCCTCCTACATACATATATTGTACTATGAGTAAGTTATTGGATAATGTAGGTTGACCACTCAACATAGTCACGTTAACAGGTGTGCGATATGCAAAGCGAGAAATATGCTTTTATGGTTGCCAGCTACATTTACAAGCAGATTATCCCATAAGTGGATTATTTAAATGTCTGCATGAAGTCAGGTCGGACAACAATTTCCAATCCTTTTTGCACTGTACTGTACATATGTACATATATACATGTGCATAAAAGAATATGTGAATTTCCAAAAACTGAATTTACTTATTTACAGACATACATATACATATATATACAAAAGTAAAGCCTATTTAAATATATTGTATATATAACTGTAATTCAGTTTTGGCATCATTCAAAATATTGGATTTTCAGCACTTATTTGGCTGAATGAATACAAATGTGACAGTAATCCTTTAAATAGGATCGAATAATGTATGGTAACATAATAAAATTAACAGTAAAGAATAATAAAACTTTGCAAACAGTAGATAACTATATTTAATTTTTTTTTTTTTTTTTGAAATTCTCAATATTTATTTTTATGAAATCGTTCATGAGAGGTGTAATTAAAGTTTTAAAGATTTTATACAACTTCATTAATTATTTAGTAAAATTGAGGGATTAATTTGATATTTATTTATTTTCTCATTTCAGAGCTGTTATCTTCACCTCTATCTTATATACACGCGCCTTGTCTAAGCGCATAAAAGCCACTATTTTGTATGCCACTGAAACGGGCAAATCCGAAATATACGCTAAGCAATTGACCGAGCTGATGGGCCATGCATTCCATACACAAGTAAGTGCATTCTGAACACAAAAAAGTACATGAAATTGTTTAATTGAAAACGTTAAAAAAATTGTATTGTATTAAATATACAATAAGCGCTTTGTAACCACTGATATGATCTTCGTCCTAGTTCTTCCTCCTCTTGATGATTTCCCAAAAAATGAAGGGATTTAAAGTTTACTTTAAACCACATCCGTACAGCTGTTGGATTTATATAAGGAGTCTCGATTTTCATGTCGAAAGTAAAGTCTGAGGGCTTGACATTTCCTGCCGAGCGGCGGTCGCAATTAGATAAATTTATTTCCTACAATTTTGGTTGTGGCTCGGACTAGAACATAGTCGTTTCGAATGGTAGTAACATAGCTAGCAGCTTGGTTATTGCGGCAGCCAGATAGTTGTATTTTAGGCATCAAGTCCTACTATTGAGCTATTTATTTTATCAGTAACTCATCAGCAACGGAATGGGAAAACTTTTACGTTATGATGTGCGACATGTTTAGCCCCTGCTAGAAATCGAAAATTATCATTCAAATGACAACAATTGAAAGACTAGCAAATGTAAAGAAATTTTTTTTTTTTTCATTCTACAAAGTGTAAATTTACTTCACATAAACGAACTAGTATTTAACTAGTATGAGTTTGATGTATGATCGGACAATTACTTTACGTAGAATAATGACGTGCTCAAAAGTGATAGTCCCTAGCATGTGAAAGAGGCGTAAAAAAGGTATTAAGTAAAATTCTAATTCACAACTTGTATCTGAAGCCTCTCTATTATTAACCACCCGTAGAAGTGCCGGCCACACGTGTCTTTCTGTATTTCGTTTAATTTTTGTAAATATTAAATGTGCAGAGCTTGCATATTACTGAGTTCTTGTTTATCTATTTAAGGAGTTTTAGTCAGAGCTTAATCGCTTCTTCTTCACACATCGTCTTCAACATCTCAACTCAACATGTCCAAGTAAGTCGAACGCCGATACCTTTAGCAACATTTACGCTATCCGTCAGAGAATAGTTGCCACTGAATAAGTTAAATGTCATTACCTGGATCCCAGCTTAGGTTGAATGAATAAGAATAGTTTACACCATAAGAAGGTAAACGCATCGTCAACCTTAAAACAGCTTTTAGACGCAATATACTACAATAGTATGGTAGAGCCAGCCGATTTCCATCGATTTGTTGATATGTGCTTAAATTCACGTAAAATCTTCTAAAGTACGAAATTTCAAGCAAATCGAACTTGCCTCCTTGTCCATTTCGATTTCCGGCCTTTGTATGACTAGGCAAAAAGTTACCTTGAAACTATTCAACAATAAAACTTTGTCTCATGGCAGTAGAACGAATCAATTGGAAGTCTAATTCGAAAATATTGGTGCCAGATCTATTTTCAGATAAAAAAGTGGTCCTTATTTTAATTTAGGCAAAATGCTCAAGTAAATCGGGTTTTTAGGCTAGATCGGCTGCAGGTCCACTTTCTGGAAGAAAGAATGTTGTTCCCTGTGTTGTTACGTAATGAGATACCTGTGTGGTCTTGAGCTAAAATGCGACAACTGCTCAGTTTTGTATACTCCAGGTACTGGTTTGATTAGCGGGTGGGAGTATTTTTGGGATCATCAGTGGTATCACAAAACAAATTAATCAAATATATATTACTTAGTGACCATTTTTATGGAAAACATTTTGTCTTCTTTCGGGTAAATAACAAAGTTCGTTTTGAACGCGAATCTTTTGTTTTTTTGAGAGTGAAATGAAGGGAATTCTGATGGTATCAAATCAGAGTTATAAGTTAGATGTGGCATCAGTTTTATGCTAATTTTATATGGGTTATCGGGTCTAGTGTAATCAGTAGGGAATATTATGGCAGTTAAGGGACTACTCGCTTCATTTATTCATTCAATTTTGGTGACTGAAAACAGTATATGAACATTCGAAAGGAATAAGTAAAATTAGACGATAACTTTTTAATGTCGCCACACATTTTTGAGTTCAATTCTGGATTATGTTATCGTAAACAGTGCAATTTACGAAATCCGGCTTAATTATTTTTTTAGAAAAAATTCTTGAACGACGAGTTCGAGATGCACCTTTCACATAACAATTCCCATAGCGAAAGAATACAAACTAATGCATAAGACACTGACATTCAATAAGACGGTGCGCAAGATGTGCAGCAGGACGGACCTCAAAGCAATAAAAATGGACATCAATGAACTCTTTTAATGTCAATTTTTAACTTATTATACCCTTCATGTACAAGAAACGGTGTATCAGTTTTGATTCGAAGTATGAAAGTACCAGAAAGAGAAGAGTTAGACCCTTCAAAAATTTATAACGATCACGTCAGAATGATGAATTAAGTTTAGTTAGTTTTGTCCATGTAAACAGAGCACAGATGGAACTGACCAGATCGGACCAGATCGTTCGGTTTTATTATTGATTTCTCAAAATATGATAACTATGTGTACATTTTTCCAATTTAAGAAATCAAATATGCGCCGTTTTGTTTATAAACTTGAAGCCAACGAACTTTTTACTTGACCTAATACCACACGTTGCCTTGGCTTTCTGTGCTTTGGCCAAATTTTCATTCATAATTGGTATTGCAAAGTACGATAAAAACATTATTAAGGCTAATTCCAAATATTCGGTTTTCCTTATGATATTACTGATCTTACTACTTGTTCGAACATGTGGGTAACATCACTGCTCAAAATCTTGCACAAAAATTTCAAAATGGATATCTTGATGTAAGCCAAAGTCGACCATTCAGGGTCAATCAAGTTAAGCGCATAAGAATAACTCTTAACCAGCAGCCGCTGAATAGTAAAAAAGCGAAGCGAACAATTTTGCCAAACAGTCTAGCGGTTTTCAATCTGTTAGTGATTCCTCTTCCGTAAAGAAAGCATAATTTATGTTTCCGTCAAATCGAATTTGGTTGCATGTTTTTGATCCATTTCCCGGTGAGAAGTGTAGTCTTGCACTTAATCTTAGGAAAATTCCAATAGGTACCATATTTCAAGTGAATCGGTCGGTAACTTTTCGACATTTGCGGATCTTTACAAGCGAATGATAGATAAAAAAAAAAATTCAAACACTCATCGAAAACAACACATTCAAATCTCAATATTTGAAAAAATTTACTTATGCCTTTTTTCTTAAACTTGACTCACTTGTTGTGCTGTTAAGAAATGTGATAAGACATCATCGCCATTAAGGTGACGTGAAGGCGACTTTCGATTTCAATACAATTGAAGAGCGTGTTTATCAACCAACGAAGGGCAATGCACTTACATACATACTCGTATATTTGTTAGTACACATATATGTATGTACATTAAGCCCAAAAAGTTTACGGAAATGGTTTTTCTCCAACGGTACAGACGGTCAATAAAGAGTAGCATTTGAGCGTTTTGAGGCGTAAATACTCGGAATTATGGGCCCATAATCTCCGGAAACTTCCATGATGATAATGCGCCACCCCACCGAGCTGTAGTTGTTATGACCGATTTTGAGACCAGAAACCTCGTTCATACCCATGTGATTTTTTTGGTTTCCAAAACTCAAGTTACCACTCCTTGGAACCCGCTTCGACTCAATTGAGGCCGTAAAAGAAAAGAACTTACGGCGACAGCTACTGCAAGCAAACTAGCTTACAGATCGTGCTCATTTTTGGCATTATAATTAAGGACAGTGCTATCAACTTAACGAAAAAAATTTTCTGTATATAATTCAGCGCGAGCAGTTTAAATGAGAATTTCCGGAAAATTTCTGGTCGTAGTGTATTTATGCATGCTTGGGGCGTAACGGTTCACCTTGCTGATGAACTATCGACCCTGCTGGCTTTGAATACAATGCTTCTTTGTTTACTGTTTGAAGAATGTACATAAATAATATTCATTTTATTGTTTATTTTTTTTTTTTGTTAATTTTAATTATTTATTATTTGCATTCGAAAAACTAAAAAAATGAAGCTCAAATATTCCCAAGAGCTCACGAGAAACGTGTTCGAGCGAGCAACAACCTCTGCTTAATATTCCCTGCAGCATTTCAGGCATTAGCTTTTTGTTTTCTAACATTTGATGTATATACTTAAGCATATATATATATATATATATATATATATATATATACTTATTTGTTATATGCGTAAGTGCAATATTTGAGGTATGTGCCAGCACCAAGAATGGCTTAAATCTGACAATTCCACCGAGCATATTTTATACCGCTCCCTCTCTCTCTCTCTCTCTCTCTTTTGCTCCGAATAGAGCAAGCCCTTGAGCTCTACCCAATAAGTTCATTACCTCTCTTAGCTTCTTAACATCATCTGCCTCTTACCTCTCTAGCTTAGACACATCGTTTTGTATCAATATTTTGTATCATTTTATATCAGACCTACCCAAAAAAAATTTTGGACTTTTGAAATAACAATAATTTTTCTGATTTATTTTAGCATTCTTACTAAAAACTGATTTTTTTTATTCACAGACTTACTGTATGGCCGACTATGATATATCCAAAATAGAGCATGAGTCCCTCTTGCTGGTGGTGGCCTCTACATTTGGTAATGGTGATCCACCAGAAAATGGCGAGGTAAGTGACTTAACTTAAATAATTAAAGTCTAGAGCTTTAAGTAGATATCGTAAAACCCACACTACTGGTGTGCGCTGTATACTGTGTTTTTTTAATGCAAATTATAAATGAGATGTTGGCATGCACGTCAACAGTGTGCTACACTGCGTATACGCAACGCCTTGCATTTATGTATGCACGCGCCAACACTAATGAGCTACTAATGTCTGCTCCATTACATGCGACTAATGACATATTTTTTGTATTTTTCTTTTCTTTTTGTTTCTTCTCATTTCATGTTTCTGCTACGTAAACTGTTGATTCGTCATCAAATGTTGCCATTTGTCTTTGGTCTTTGGTCTGCGACTCGGTGTTGTGCACTACTTCGATTTAATGGCTTCATCATTGCTGTTTATGTACAAACATATAATATGTATTTGTGCGTGCGCTCGTGCTATGATAACATATACATGAATATGTAGCTCTTCTCTCAAGATTTGTACGATTTGCGTGAGAATGCGGAAACAGCTAAGGATGAAAGGTAAGCAAGTGATATGCGTGAGATGCGTTGTTAGGACTTTGTGTGTGTGTTACGTTAAAGTAGTAGAGTATTTTTGATTATTGAAGTATATAAATTTAACGGCCAATATACGGAAAGTATTTTGGTTCATTCATATTAAATATAACTATTCAATCCGAAATAGAATAATCCGGTGGCTGTAGCTTATAGTTTGGGAAAACATTTCTTAGTACGAAAATTCGTTGTCCATAGCATGGAAAGAATCCTGCTACGTATACAATAATTTGGATGCAACAAAATAAATCTCACATTTTATATTCAAATTTCATGCACTACTCGCAACGCGTGTAGAATTTCAAAGTGACACTGAGTATCATCGCGGAATACTACTAGGTCGAGTAAAAAGTTCGTTCGGTTTTTATCTAAGAGATGGCGTTATTGTCCAGAGTACTAGTGTTACGACGTGTCGCATCATGTCATACGATACGGCACTGAAAACGTGTTTGTTCACAAACTTTTAGGTCTTTGACTGTTTTTCGATTGATTGACTCAGTACATTGAGAGCGCTCGTCAAAGATGGACACCAGCGAAGGGAAAATTCGCTACTTTTTAAAATTTTTCTTTTATCAAGACGAAATAGTGGCTTCAGCGGCTGAAAAAATCAATTTAGTTTATGGACGCGATACTGTAAACAAATGTGTAGCACAAACGTGGTTTGCTAGATTCCGTTCCGGTAATTTCGATGTCAAAGATGCACCAGGTTTTGCTGTGTGTTTGTTGGGTTTGGCAAGGAATCATCTACTAAGAGCTGCTTCCCTATAGCCAAACGCTCAATTTGGCCCTCTACTACCAACAAATGGATCGCTTGAAGGCAGCACTCATGCAGAAGAGGCTATCCTTGATTAACATCGGACAAATGTACACAAGGTTATCATATATCGAAAAATCAACAAAAAAAAAAACCGAACGAACTTACGACTTGTCCTAATATTTTTTCCGATTAATTCCGATTTTTTCAGAGGCGAGAACATCTGAGAGCTCTTTTATTCCAAGTCCCTGATGAAGGGGTTTTATATCATGTCAAAACTGGAAAACTCGAAAGACTTCACAGTCGCCGCCAAGGGACGATAGCAATAAGAAACAATAATTTTCTATACTTTTGAATGATCTTCTAAATGGCAATGCTAGCCCCTCGCAAAACTTATTCTCGGCATTTATTAATTTTACGTAAAAACCTTAGCCTTCAATGGAGAAGCATATGGAAGCTGTATGTGTATATTTTTCCGTGATTAGAAGGCACCGGTTTCAGCATACTCAGTCTGCATTTTTTATAAGTATCTTTTTATATAACGAGCAATGGAATCGCTTTAGGTTTTAAACGCTTTCATAAACCCATCCAATACTTACTCATCCATTTACAGACCCATCGCTCGCTCAGTGACTGCTAGTACTTGAAGGTCCTTAGCGAAAATTTGGGACTGATCCTAAAATTTTTCAATGCTCTTCTACCACTCTCTCTTGTTTCTAATTAATAATTATATCTATGAAGTACTGAGAAACACATCTGTATATTTTACATGCTCTAAATACTAGTTTGAAGTATTAAATAAAAATAATAATTAAAAGAATATGAAAATAATATACTTTCTTAAACCACTTGTGGTGAGAATAACTCTTACTCCTTTTCTACCTACCACGTGAAGCCAAAAATAATCTCTTCATTAAAAGATGCGAATAAACCAGAACCCTTAAGTGCCACCACTCCATTTACCTTTAACTGCCACTTCATTACTTTCAGCGGTGTCTGTACAAAATTTCAAGCTGCGGAGCAAGCTACACATTTCTTTAACGCTGCATTGTTTTTTATTTTCCACGTTTTTCAGATTCTTTTTTATTCACTCTTTTCTTTTATCACTACACTTATTGTACAACGCATTCGTGCTTTGCCCAATTTCATCTCGAAACACAAAGAAAACAACACATTCATTACACAGACAAAGACACGCACACACATACGCACACATACAAACATATGCTCAAATGTCGGCTACGAAATAACCTCAAGGCCACATGTAAAAGCAGGATATTTCACTATGAAAGAGTAAATATTTTTTAAATGACTTTGCTCGGTGGCCAGGGTATTTTAACTATCTTCAGTTCGCGGATGCTTATAAATGGCAAGGTCTTTGCGATCGACCCCATTGAAGAGGCAGCAAGGCACTTATGCAGACCTCAAGGAAAATAAGCCGAGATGCGTGAGTATGAAGAGTTTGAGCTGCTGTACAACAGGGGTTAGGACTTACGTAGAGTTTCAAGACCGGACTAAACTCTTGGCGATCCAGAAAGGTGATCTAGCCACTGATGACCGAAGTATACTGAATTTTTTAAGAGAACACTTCCCCACTCTGCTGAAGAGCAGTGAAAATGCAGAACCAGGACATACCGAACCCGATTCACTGACGATGGAGCAGGCATTTTATTGTTTGACTATGAAGTAGTTCGAATTGCAACTATCCGCTTGAAAAAAAAAAAAAACAAAGCAGCGGCTGAAAACATGTCCGACGATTGGAAATTAAATGTGCTCTTAATGTGCTCTGCTCAATATACGAAATGTGGACACCACAGTCTGCGCTTCAAAAACTTATTACATCTTATTATTATGGCTTTCGACTTTGTAAGTCCAAATCTTCGAAAAGGCCCGTGAAAAAAACGCGGTACACACCACATCTTGGTCGATTTTATTGCCTAAACTTGGTGCCCCGCTGTGTACGAGTATACTGATATTAACTAAATCCGAAACATCCATCAGGACCGAGCCGTTCGATGCCAAACAAGATTTCAGGAAAGGTGGCTCTTAATTGAATGACTTCTTTAATTTATTCCTGTAGAAAATAACATGAGATGCAGAGCTGGAAATAGAAGGTATAGTCTTCTATAAGCCTTTACAGCTGCTGGCGTATGCCTACGATGGTCTGCGCTGTTCAAAGGCATGGACGATAACAACATCTGACAAGTTGGTGTCAGGAGTTTTCAAGAGAAAGATTTTGGGTCATATTTATGGCTCCTTGTACATTGGTAACGGCGAATACCGCAGTCGATGTAACGATGAGCTGTCTAAGTCAGGTCGTCTGAATGGATGATAATGCATTCGATGAAGTACCAGGTCAAGCTCCTGGTTCGAGTCCCACTAGAGGCAAATTAATTTTAAATTTTGTTTAAATTTTTTTAGTAAATTAGAAATTTTTACCCCTCCCTTAGTCGTATGTTGTTTTTGTTTTTAGTACGCCACGACAGAGTTTCACTTCCTGAATAGTTCTGTTAGGCTGCGCAGATTTCGCTGCTGTCATATTATACATTTGATGCGTGAGGGTCTTCGATTCTCGCAGGCAACAATCTCAATTCCCTTTAATCTATTTTTGGTTTTGTTTTTCGGTGAAGTAGAAATTCAACATGCTTAAATGAACTAGTATTAAACTAGTATGAAGCTGATGCATAGTAGGGCAGTTGTCAGCTCGGAGGTCATCGCCGTGTTAAAAATACCAATTGCTTACATGGAAAATAGATGGAAGAAGAACCAGTTGGTATAAAAACGTAAACTAGTTGGACTCTACTTGACAATTAGTATTTTCTCCTGCAGGGATGTGCTCTTATAATGCCGAGATAAAATGATTAGCCGATGCCTCTCTGTGTACCTTATGGAAGTTGATTGAAAGCTGAATTTAAGAACCTGCCCACTAGAGGCTGTTAAAGTGGCTTTTAGAGATTAGTTATTGGAAGTAGTATTTTGAAATACCACCGATGCCAATAAGCGAAATTTGAAACATTAGAACTCATCTACGAGCAGGTGATTTCATCGAGTCTAGAAGATTTTGTTGCGACACAGATTAGTCTCAAAATTTTATATTTTGACAGCTCTGATCATTCTTCTGACTTCTACCTAATTTCAAACTACCTTGAATTCCATGATTAAGACTTCTCCACATTCAGTTCAATCTTATGTCTTTCATCGACTATTCAGATGATGCAGAGGCCACGAATTTAGTCGCATAAAAAGCAATTTTTATCCGTCTGGAGTATCGGATGTTCAGTGCCACCCTAACTTTACCATCCTTATTTATTTATTTTCATTTTTACATTTCATTCACTCAGTTGTTATTTTTCTCTTTTTCGCTTGTAATTTTTTAGTACTTGAACTTTCATTGTTCTACTGGAAATTACTTGTTTGGCGGCTGTGCGGGTTTTTTCCTTTTTTTTTTTTTGCATTGTTTGAATGCCACTTTGACCGCCATATCCGCATATGTCCGTGTGTACATCTACTACTTACCAGCATCACCTAGAAAAACAATAAATTTTACTGTGCCACCCACACACAATGATAATGCCACTGATTATGGCTGTCAGTAACTGCTGAAAGCGCATCAGGGCCGAGTAGACCAACTCAGACATACTCACGCTTGTCAGACAATACGCATTAATATACATATGTATGTGTGAAAGTGTATTCACTGAATGCCTAAAGGGTTTGTATATGATTTTAACTATACAGACATCTAAGAAGACCTGTAATCCGGCTGTAAACCCAGCAAACCCAGCAAATAATCTCTTCAACTTTTTAGCTAGTTTCTTAAATCTCATTCTCTCAATCGAGCTGTAGAAGTTGAAACAGAAAAATGTGTGAAATGTTTTAAAATTTCGTAAACGACCTTAGCTCGTTCAAGGCAACCTTAAAAAGTTCATATAAAAGAAAAGGTGTGATTTTAGTAAAGCTGGCACTCAAACAGCACTGAAAGCTGCAAGAAAACCAGGTTTTAGTTAGGTGTACCATGGGATTCATTTAGACTAGCACGACAACCATTTTAATTTCCTGAGCTATAGCCCAGTACTGACCATTTTTATTCTTTGACCTAATGATGTCTATTCAGATAATTCGCATGGACCATCAAAAAAGCTGGTCCCGAGATTTCGGATAGCAACATTGCCCAAAGTAAAACAGCGATCGTTTCATCCTAATCAAAATTTTTGCAGCTCCCGACAAAAGTCATCCCATTTTCTGAAATTCAGTTAACTTGGAGATGTCCTCTCTAGCCTGTGCAGAATTTAAATCCCTGAGGGACAATTTGGTTTTGGCAAAAGATATGCAATAGCCCTCCTTATCGAGACGAGTCAGATCGATAACCATTGGCCTACGTTGGAGATTGTTTGTTCTACCAAAGATCGGCAACAGTTCAGTATGACTTATTGAATGAAAGTTTCACGAGAGAGCTTGCGAATTCTCTGTATGCGTTTTGGGAAGCTTTCTTCACCGTCGTCATTGGCGTAGACACGAATTAAAAACATTTCTCCATTCATTTCTTCTTTTCGCTGTTTGGCGACAATTAGAGATACCAATTTCAGCCAGGCCCTTCTCTATCTGGTCTTTCCTACAAAGCAGACGCCTTCATCTTCCTCTGCTTTAAGTGGTAAGTACTGCATTGAATACAATCAAAGTTGGAGAGCCAACCAAGGCGCTGCCCTATAATTCACTGAACTTGGTATAGTTCGGCGTATGATTCGTACATCTCATCGTTTCATCGTTTGCGGTGTTGGATGTTGGCAAAGCACAAAGGACTAAACGAAAAGTCAAATTCATATATAGTTGGATGGAAATGATGAACGACTTGTAAAATTTGGTCTTTGTTCGTCGAGAGAGGACTTTACTTTTCAATTGCTTTCTCAGTCTAAGGTAACACCAGGTGGCAACAGCGAGTTGGCATTGAATTTCATGGCTGACGTCATTATTGGTTATAATGCTGGTCCATAGATGGAGGATATTGTCTGCGATGCCGATCTTATGACACCATAAAGAGTTACCCTATTGGAAACCTCGTTTGTAACTGAATAGCCCGAAGAGCTCTGGTGTCAAGAGTCAAGAGTTTAATAAACCGTATAAATTTTGTAGAGATACCAAATTCAGCAGCTCTAAAAAGTTTGAAAATATTTATTATGTATATCCATTCTTTTCTAACCAGCCCTTTCCGAGAGCTGAATACCTGGTCAATTATAGATTTTCCAACTAGCCAAACCGACCAATCAGTTTGGAGACGGTAGGCTTTAGACCTTCACGCAATACGCTAGATAGGACCTTATATGCTTACTGAGGAGGTTAGCGTAGCGGTAATTGACATAGTCTGTGGGGCCCATATTTTAGTACATTAGACAAAGCACACTAAGGTTTCAATCGACGGGCATGCCTTCGACCGACCGTATTCTGTGTACATGCACATTGTCTATTGTACTAATAACTTAACTTAAGTTAAGTGGGCAATTGCTATACGGGCATAGTCGGTTAATGGAATGTCTTTTCCGTCATGATCGATTTGGGTTCAACATTTCCGGGTGTTGTGCTTGCACTGCCTTTCAGTAGGCTGGCGAAGTGTCCCTTCTTTATACAAAGTAAGCTCCGGTCTTGAAGACTTAGGAGTATGTGAACGGTTCATGGAATTTTCAAGCAGCTTCTGAAGCTCACATTTACGCATCTCGGTTTGTTTCTTGATTATCTCTTAAGCTCTTGTCATCTTGGTTTTTAATTTAAATTTTTACATATTTTCAGACATTTTTGATTGTCTTTATTAGTTGGAGCTTTCTTTTATAAGTATATGTTTATACTGTGTAAATGCCTTACATTCAGTTTATAATTTATATTTTTGCTTTTCTCATTTTTTTCTCGGTCCAGCGTTGATCTCACTTCATCCAAATACAATCGCTTGAATATTGATGAATTAAAAAAATCGGAGCCTTTGAGAAAATTAAGGTAAGTAAAATTTACAAATTATGAATTTAAATAAAAAGAAATATTCCATAAATATTTGATCATTTTTAAGCCCAAGATTAACGATTAAATGTGTAAATTGGTTTCTCTCGGGTCTGTACTTTGTCTCGTATTTACCACGGCCTTCAGGATCTTTGAGATAGCACGATCATAATTTTTGAGCGGATCCTCCTGCACAATCTTTACATATTATGTTGACCATCTTGCAGAGAGCTAAACTATTCCAAATCGTTCAGATCAGTCTATTATTTTCTCGTCTATAGTTACTGCATCGAAGATACCTGTACCACTGCTTATCTGCCCATAAGATCATCTTCGGGTATTAGACGGTGTAAGACTGTAATCGCAATCAGAAAAATTTACTACCTATAATTTTTTGATGTTGGTCGGACCACGACTATCGGAATACTGGTACGCAATACTCACCACACCACAATGAGATTATTTTAGACCCGGTCATAGCATCAAAGGATTATAAAGTAACATTGGGTTAATCACAGCTGCTTAACAATAAAATCCTACTTACCCTTTTTCCCCCAAATTAAACTTCCACAACAGAGGTGAGGTCAACTCCGTCAAGTCTATGACGCTTTCAGACAAGCATTCTGCTTCTGCATCAGACCGAAAACGGCTAAGGTCCATTCAGCTCGGGCCTTGCCCTCCTGCAACTCAGTGGACTTTTTGCTGCAGAAATACAATTATGTCCACTAAAGACCTCGAGATCGTGTTCCTTATGCTCAGATCAATTTCTTTATTAAAAGTTAAGTGGAGTGAGTGAAATTTAGAATCAATGAATCTTCCCGCTCTCGATATGTTAACTGGCACAAGTTATCTCTAATGCCTTTCTCAATTGCCATCAGAAGAAATAACGTTAAATTAATGGGTCTGTATTCAATCGAATGGAGAGGCCTCCAGAGTACAAATATATTCCTAAATAAGCTTCGTAACTGCTTAGTAGATATGCACTAGATAACAGCGCTAGTGAAACCCTCTGTATCATAGCCCCAGGAATACCATCTGTTAATGTCGAATGCAAGAATTGTGGGTCTATTTGTCAGATGGAACGTAGCATGTTATGCTGCCTGAAACCCACAATAGCTTCATATTATAACTTTGTTATAAGTTCCTTGATTTATGGTATACATATATTTAAACACACGTTTTATTCTTTTACAGCTTCGGCGTCTTCGCACTTGGTTCTACAACGTACCCGAACTTCTGCGCTTTCGGTATTTACCTCGATAGGATTCTCGGCGAACTTGGTGGCGAGCGCCTCCTGGAGGTCACTTGCGGCGATGAAATGTGCGGTCAAGAACAAACTTTCCGCAAATGGGCACCGGAAATTTTCAAGTCTGCTTGCCAAACATTCGATTTGGATTATACTGATGGCTTATCTGATGCATTCCATGATGACACTCTAACCGCCAGTACAGTGCGCATGGTGCCATCACAGCGTGAAGGTACCGTCGATCAATTACTATCGAAATATCACAATAAGAAAGTGCAACGTTACAAGATGAAATCGGCACCACGCAACCTGACCAAGCTGGCCGACGATGAAAAGCCCACAATTTTGGTTGAAATTTATGCGCCCGGCTTAGATTATGAACCGGGTGATCATGTTGGTATCTTCCCAGCCAATCGCACGGACATTGTAAACGGCGTGCTGAAACGTTTAACCGGTTTCGAAGATCCAGATGAGGTATTGCAGGTGCAGGTGATGCGAAAGAAGAAGACACCAAATGGTACATTCAATTGTTGGGAACCACACGATAAGATACCCGCTGAGACACCACGCACACTCCTCACACACTTCTTTGACATAACAACACCGCCACAGCAAGTTCTGCTGAATTTATTAGCCGACTTCTGTGATGACAATTACGACACAGAGCGTTTGCAAAAACTTGGCGCAGACTTTGCCGCTTATGAAGAGTGGCGGCAATTGCATTTACCCACACTACTCACAGTGCTGGAGCAATTCCGTTCATGCAAGCCACCAGCGGGTTTGCTCTTCGGTAATCTCATGCCATTACAGTCTCGTTTCTATTCCATTTCATCATCGCCACGTAAGGTCATTAACGAGATCCATTTAACGGTGGCGGTTGTTAAGTATAAAAACCAACGTGGGAACGAACGTTACGGTGTCTGCTCGAACTATTTGGCCAATATGGAAGCACAAGAGCCATTGTACTTCTTTGTGCGCAGTGCGCCCGGTTTCCATTTGCCTAAGGATTCATCGGAGCCGATGGTATTGATTGGTCCTGGTACTGGTATTGCACCATTCCGCTCATTCTGGCAAGAGTTGGAGGTATGGCGTGAGCTGAAGATGCAACGTTCGAAGGTCTGGCTCTTCTTTGGTTGTCGGACGTTGGAGATGAATTTGTATGCCGAAGAAAAGGCGCTACTGCAGCGTGAAAAGATTTTGGATCGTGTTTTCCTCGCACTCTCACGTGAACCAGATACGCCCAAGGTGAGCGAAAACTCTTTGCACGATGTGTTATTGCAAGTATTTCTTTCATTTTATGCGCTGAGTATAACTATACGGGGTTTTCTTCTTCTTCTTATTCTTCTTCTTCTTCTTCTTCTTCTTCCTCTTTATTTTCGCAGACCTATGTTCAGCACCAGATTGAAAGAGAATTCGATTCACTCTACCAACTGATTGTCGAGCAGAAAGGACACATTTACGTTTGCGGTGACGTTACAATGGCTGAGGATGTCTATCAGACAATTAGGTGAGTAAATGACGCAAATTGTTGCAAGGCGCACAGAATGAGCATGGAAAATTTGACATTCATTACGAGTAGCATTCCCATTGTGGATGTCACTTACGTATGTCACTGTGATTAATGGTGGTTTTGACTCAAGGTTGGAATTAAATACATTCAGCCGGCAATTTGCTTTCTCTACCGCGCACGGCGGAAAAAAAGCTAAGCCAAGGAAATGTCTTCCGAAAGAATAAGTGAAACTGGAAAGCATTGTGTTAATTTACACATGGACATATTCACCACTGCAAACGCTTAAAGAGCTCTCAACAATGTTATTTCCATATTGGAAGTCAACCATCAACTGAGTTTTGTGTAAAAAGTTTTAATTTTAAGTGTATCCGTCTCAAAGTAAGGTAACGGACTTAGACTTCTATGAATATGTGAATACCGTTGATAAGGACTCTTGTTTCATTGAAGATTAAAATGCAATTCTTTATCTGTCAAACCCAAAATTTGCATCATTTGTGTTTCATTATTAATTCTTGACTATAATTTTCTTTCCAGGAACTGCATTGCTATAAAGGAACAGAAATCGGAAGCGGAAGTGGAGGCATTTTTACTTACGTTAAGAGTAAGTATACTAAATGAGACAAAAGTTTTAGATTTTTATTTATATACTCTGTCTATTATATATCATACGAGGGGCGGCTGATAAGTTCGCGGCTTAATGGGCTTAATGAAAAAAAGGCATAGAGTCTGCCCCAAGTGAAATACACTCTTCATATCGTGAATACGAGGTGTGACATTTAAGAAAAGATACAGATTCAATAAAAACCATATATTTCAAAATTATTCTACAACTCTGGCATCCCCCTCAAAGTAGTCCCCTATGACGGCTATACAACGATTCCAGCGCGTTTTCCCTGCTTCGTAACATTTCTGGAAAGCTTCGACTGGGATGTCCGCGAGTACCCTCGTCACGGTCGCCTGGATGTCCTCAATCGACTCAAAATGGGTTCCGTTGACCATCTATTTTGTTGTAGGAAGAAAAGTCACAGGGTTACATATCGGGCAAACAAGGCGGTTGTTGCAACACGGCGATCACTTTAGAGGCCAAATACTGGGACACGCTGAGGGTGGTGTGGCACGACGCTTTGTCGGATGAAGGATCCAGTTACGAGTGATGTCTGGGCGCATCCTGTTGACTCGTGCTCGCAATATTACGAATACTTGGCGATAGTACGCGCTGCGCACTCGTGTCAGTCTGCATCTTGACTGGTCTCCCGCTCTGCGGCTCATATTTCACGCTTTCACATCCCTCCCACGAACACACGTTTACTCAACAAGAAACAGCAGGCGAACTAAACGAGCTAGACAAATGGAGTGGAGAAAGATGGCAAGAGAAAGGAAACGAAATTTCACTATCGTAGAGTTACCACAATCCCGGCAATATAATCAGCTTCCTTACTTAATTGTCACACCTCGGACAATACCTTCAATGGTATAAAAAAAATTCTTTAAGTAAGGTTTTCTACTTTTTTGAATTTGAAAAGAAAAGTAAGAGCCAGGTCCGGACTAAAGGATGGATGGTCAATTTCTGTAAATCCAGTAACTTTTAAGATACCCTTCACAAACAGTATTCGGTGTGCTAACTGTCTACTTCTCTTTTGTAAGCTGGCCGTTCATTGTTGTTCACTGTGGCATGTAATCAATTAATAATACGCCCTGGCTATTCCAGTAATTGGTAGCCATAATCTTCGACTCCGACTTCTCCACTTTGAATTTTCCCCTTTTTTATTCACTGCATCGACGCCTGTTTGGACTTGGGATCATACTGACGAATTCTAGCTATAATATGAAGTACAAATATCATCCAAATAATCTTGGCCGAAATCCAAAATATCTCTACCGCTCCCGATCGTCGCTGGCTATCGAGCGGCGTGAGCAGTAGCGGTACCCAACGCTCACTAATATTTTCCATATTCAAATGTTCATACAAAAGCTCCCCAGCTCGTGCCTTGCTAATCTGTCATCCTTTTGCTATTTGCCACAATTTAATTTTCCGACTTTCGGAACATTTTCTTCGAGGCCACGACCGTCACTGGGCGCTCCGGGCGGGGGTCATCTGTACAGGTCTCTCCTCCTTGCTGAAACTACCGCGCCCATTTTTTCGCCATCGTATATGAAGGAGCAGAGTCTTGAAGAACTGATGATTTCTCTTTAAAAATTTACTTCGGCGTACTTCTTCTTCTACAAGTAATTCAATCACAACGCGGTGCTCCACATTGCGAGAATTTATAGTTTCCTTTGATAGTGTTGTTGCTTATTCCAGAAACGAAATGTTAATGAACGTAATAAAAGAAGTTGTGTTATTTATACTAATAACGAGTACCGTAATGAGTGTTATCAGTAACGAGATGATGTGCAATCTCTAACTGCCTTAGGTCGGTAGATTAGCAGCCGCCTCACACTTAGACCCTTCATTACAGCAGTATAGATATGAATATCTTCCTTGTTTTACGTTCATTCTTCCCTGCTAGGGAAAGAGGAGTAAGTGGCTTGCATCTGACCGAAGTTATCCCAATATTTAAGTGCTTTGCTGGTCCTGGTAAGTTTTTTTTTTAATATAAAGCACTACTCCGAGATATTTGAATGAGGTTTATGCTATTTCCCTTAAGGCTGATCTCCCTTGGCTGACCTGAATTTTTTCTGAACTTACAGTACACACGGTCTCTCGAGACAACTCGCTCCTTTGCGGTTGCTTGTATGTCAAGCTTCCTCATGTCTTTCTTGAGTTTATTAAGCCATCTTGATCGCGGTTTTCCCCTTGCCTTGATGGTGAATGCTGTGGCCTTACCAATTTTTAGCTGTGCTTTCTTGTTGTCCATTATCGTTATATTACCGAACCATCTTAGTCGTTGTGCTTTAATAAAGCGCATAACATTTTGAAGGGATTACGTTGTTCCCTGGCTTGTAGCCTTAGCCTTTCTACCTGATTTGTTCTCGTGCCATTAAAAAGCAAATCGTAATTTTTTCCGAAATTTTTGGAGTACCACGAGATCCATTACCCATCTTGCATGTTCAGTCGCACTTTTATTCATTTCACCAGCTCATTACATAATCTTTATTTTCCATGAGCCGAGTTTCCACTTAACATTCTCTTTGCGAGTCTTCCGGTCGTTAATGTTGGTTTTGGGTTGCGCTCCGAGACACTTCTTTTACTTTCTTGACAATCAATTACTGCCGAAGGGATTGAGAATCATACATCGGCAAGGCTGAACTCTAGTTACGTGGTAGCTGGTTATAACTCAAGCTTTCACTTTGCCCTTTCATCTTTAAGGTTACACCGTCCACAATCGGTCGTTAAAGCCTCTTTTATTATCAATAGGCTGAATCGACGAATAAGTCAGGTTGACGGTTGAATAGTAGAGGCATTTCTAATCGTCCCACTATCCCATTGGCACTTGACTATGAGCTGCTATTGAATAAGTTAGTACAGTTCTTTACATCCACAGTAGGAGCTCGGCCGAAAATCACTTCAGCGGTTACAAAGCGTATATTATATATATATATATATATATATATATATCCACTTCACATACGACTTCAGGCTTCTTTTAGTTTCATTTTGTACTCAACATAAAATAATTCAACTTTTCTTGGTAGTGACTGTGTGCTTTATGAGCGCGCCTAAATGTAGACTATACAATTTTTTAAGAAACTGTATTACAATGCGGCACAGTTGCCGTTAAACCAATTGGGAATGAGAAATGTAGAATAAAATAACTCAAAGAAAAAAGTCACAAAAAATTACTAACAAATTTTCAGTATAATCTGCCTGGTAGTTTCGGATTTTATTTATTTATATTTTTTTGCTTTTATTCGGTTTTCACATCTACATTTTAATTATCCATGCATTTCGTTAGGTGTTACTGTTAGTTATTTTATTATTATAATTTTTTTTTTGCTGTCTTACTAAATGACTGACTTTTCCATATTTAAAATTTTTTAACAAAACATTTCTTTTTTTTCTTTATCTAAGAATTTACAGGCTAGTTAGTGTTTTGCAAATCTGACTATATTTATAATATTGTAATATTACAAAATTAACTTTTAAGTGTAGTTCAAGCAAAAAGTTGCTCAGAATCGCTAGTTTGCTGCAAGTCAAACTTTCATACGAGTAAGATCTACTTGCTCGTGCAAACTTCTTGTTTAACTTTGTAAGTTTTCTCTTTAAATATTTTATTTTATTTTTCTACGTAATTATGCAGCATCGGAACAGCAATATGTAAATATATGTGTACTTATGTATGTACAACATAAGCATGTTTTATTCCCTAATCAGAGTCACCATTTAGCCGCCGCGTTCGTTCGTCTGCTGAGCTTTCTTGTACTGAGTCTGTACGTACAATTATAAATTATAGAAAACATATACGTGTATGTACATGTACACCTTCATACGTGTATGTACAATATACTGATAAAATTTATTTATACGAAAATCAATTTTGTTGCAAGACGATTTTGTATTCTAGAAGCGGCACTACTAAATTCTCAGCTCATCAATAAATGAGTTTTTTTATGTTTCTCATATTTTTTTTAATTTTTACTACTGTTTATAGTTAGATTGTTATTTTATTTTTTCATTTCATTTTCGTTTTTCGATTATGTTCATTATTTAAAATTTTTTTATCAAAATTTCTTCACATTTTTTTGTTTAAATTTAATTTTTTACTTATATACTTGTTAATTTTTTTTACATTTCCATTCTTCGTTTAATTATATTTTTCTGTTTTTAGTTTTCTTTACACTTTTTTCCATTTGATTCTTTTATTTTTAATGTTTGCTAATTTTGTTTTTTGCTTTTTCGTTTAATTTTCTTATTTTTTGTTCTTAATTTTTCTCTAAATTTTCTATCCTGGTTTGATAAATTTTGTTTAACTTTAAATTATTTTATTTTTTTTTTTGGTGCTAGTGACTTATTTTTGTTTGTTTGTTTGCATTTTCGTTTTCCGATAATTTGTTTTTTTTTTGGATTTTTTTTAACATTCTTTACATTATTTTCGTTAACGTTAATTTTTGGTTTAAATTAGTAATTTTTTTTGTGGTATTTTTCTTCTTCGTTTAATTTAATTTTTTGGTTTTAATTTTTCCTTACATTTTTTTATTTTATTTATTTACTTTTTTAGTTTAATGTTTGTTTATATTTCTTTTGTTTTCACGTTCTTCGTTTAATTTTTTTTAGCTTTTCTTTAAATTGTCTTCCTTGTTTCATTTTATTTTTATTTATATTTTTTTGCTTTTCGTTGTCAGTTTAAATTAATTTGTTTTTTCATCTTCAATAATTAAATTTTTTTTGTATTTCTCATAATTTTTTTTATTTTTATACTGTTAATAGTTAAATTTTATTCGTGTTTAAATTTGTTTTTACTTTTTCGCTTAATTATTTATTTATTTTTTTTGTTATTAATTTTTTTTTTACATTTTTTTTTTCAATTAATTTAATTTTTTGAATTGAATTTTTTTATATTTATTTGCTTTTTCGTTCTTCGTTTAATATTTCTTGCTTTCAATATTCTTTACTTATCTTCAATAAATTTAAATTTTTTAAATTGAATTTTTTTATATTTATTTGCTTTTTCGTTCTTCGCTTAATATCTTTTGTTTTTAATTATTCTTCACATCTTCTTTTTCGTTTAATTTTATTCTTTATTATATATTATTTTTTGCATTTACCTTTTTCGGTTAATTTTTTATTTTTTATTTTTTTTTTGTTTTTAATTTTTCTTTACTTTTTTTCAATTAATTTAAATTTTGAATTTTTAATTATGAATTTTTATTTATATTTTATTTTTTGCATTTTCGTCCTTTGTTTATTTAATTATTTTTTTATCTTAATTTTTTCAAATTTTCTTTCCTCGTTTAATAACTTTTTTTAATTCTGAATTTTTTATTAATTTTTATTTTGCATTTCTCTTCTTGTTTTTTTTTTCTTTTTTGTTTAATTTTTTAAGTTAATTAATTTTATTTTTTTCTTTAACTTTAGAGTAATTATTTGGTAATTGTTTCTTTCACTGGTTTCTAAATTTCTAATAAAAATTGGAATTTTATCTGTTTCTTTCTAGCATGAAAACCGCTACCACGAAGATATCTTCGGCATCACTTCGCATGCTGGTGAGGCGCGTAATAAGTCCACACTTCGCCGCGGCTCGCGTACATTAAATGCTTTGTAGGCTGCTTTCCGACATAACCTCAGAATTTCTTAAACGGCTGTATAACTACAAAAACAAACAAAATGCTGGCAGTGCTGGTCACTTGACATATTTAAAAAAAAAAAAAAAAAAAAAACTATTTACAATTACTATATACATTATTACTCATTAACATACAACACATACATACTTATATATATATATATATATATATATATATATATACGTTTATAAAAAATTGTATAATCTCTAATTTTTCTACTAACACATTACCATAAGGATGAAACATTTTTATATCCAAAGCTACATCACTTTTATAAAATTTCATAAGAGTAATATTTTTATAAATCATGATTTTTATAGGAGTATAAATTAATTTTCAATAATTATTCTGAGTTTCCTTTCTTCAAATGCGAGAGTAAGCAGCGAGCGAAAATGGTAAGTCTGAATACTAATGCAAAAAAAAAATCAGTGATTTGTAGAGTAATTAAAGTCCACAATTTACCTCTCTTCATGCGATCGAGGGTGTTTTCACGAAGGAGTAAAACGGATATACTTTATTATTAAGGCCAAGAATTTATTGTAAAAAAAAGGCTTGAATAACTTCCAACCGAGAAACCCAATCTTGCATGAAGTGGATGAGTACATTCGGGTCTTCATTGATACTCTGCTCCACAGCAGCAATAGCGTATTAGGTACACGTTATCTGCTAGACTAAACGTGTTGCGGAACCAATCCATGGTTGCTCGAATTCCGGACTCTACTGGGCAATTATATCGACCGAATGCTGGCTGTAGCGCGAGATGTGTCGTGTGAACGGAACCATTACTTCTAGTAATAAATTTGTTTTCATTTCCCTACATCTTTTCTCATTTAGATAATCTTGGGATTAAGGGAGTGCCAAAAAATGTTGAAACGTGGAGAATTACGAACGTTCTGGACGCTGCAGCACATCAACAACCAACGATAACATGGAAAAAGTGAATGAAATGGATATATTCACAATGAGAGAATGTTTTGGATGGGAAACGCGTGACAGTAAAATTTGTTTCAAAATTTCTGAGTTATAACAGATGACGATACATAAGTTTATGAATATAATGTCGAGATCAAGGCTCAATCATTACAATGGGGACATTCTGGATAGTCAAGACTGAAAAAGATCAATAAAGAGTATTTACTTCAAGCTCAAAGCCGTTTGCGGCAAGCAATCCGTTAAACGTTCAAAGTATTACAAACAGGGTTCAAGCTTTTGCATTATTATAATTTCACCTTTTCGCTTGTTCGTAAATTTTTGACCGAAAACAATACTGTAACTATGCCCCCTGTTGAAGGGCTTTCTTTGACATCCGTCTATCACAACATGAACGTTCAGGCGAAAGCAAAGACAAGCATCATGATTTTTCTTGTGCTGGAATCTAGTACTACAGACAGCCATATTTCGGGCCAAGGGGAAGTCGATCAGCCTCAACCCATTTGGAAATGTTTCGTCGTGAAGGTTGAATTTTCCAACAGTTGTGCTGAATATACCTTCTTTGCCTACTCAGGCGTTGAAGACACCAAGTATAGTTTTTACATCGTGGAAGAGGCAGGGCTCACAAAAGCCATCGTTGGTCATATCATCTTTCTCTTCCGGTGGGGCGTGGTCGTAAGTCAGCGATGATGTTAAACAATGTCGCTTTGATGCGGTTTGTGGCTAGATTGGCTTGAATGCAGTATTTAGATACCGAGTATCGCTCCCATCAAGAATATCGCATCAAATTTACATTCCTTTATATGGTCGCTTTATTAAAAGACACAAGTATCTACTCGCTTTCGTCCTGGTACCACCCATTTTACAGCTTGGACGGCGGTAATGAAAGAGCACATCAACCGGCTGGGCAGTGGTGCCTTCCCAATTGAGAGTCCGGGCATTTCAGATGCATACTCTCAATTCGTAATCTTTAAAATATTTGCGGTGTCGTTATCAGAAGAGGGGTATTGTCGTCGAGTTTGTTTTAATTCAGCTCACAATTAAATAGCGATGCGCTTACTTCAAGCCCGACGCCCGTTCGCAGGCGCACCTCTGGTGAACAGATGTTCCATTTAGACTTCAGCGAGCTTTTGAACCGAAAAAGTCGGAGTGGCTCCACTCTTCTTCTCTTTTGGGCATTGAGGCAAGGCTCCACACGGGTTGGTTACCACATGGTGCACAAGTGTCGCTCATGTTTCCAGGGTGCGCGAACTTGTTAGAGACTGCACATCATCTCGTTACTAATAATACCAATTGCGGTACTCGTTATTAGTATAAATAACACTGCTTTTGTCATTACATTCATTAACATTTCGTTCCTGCAACAAACAGGAACAAAACATCAACAAAAAGTGGAAATTATCGCCATTGTGATTACCGCGTTGTGATCAAGTTCAAAAACAAAAAGCTCTTTAGGATTCTGCTTTTTCATAAACTATGGTGAAAAAGTGGGCTCGGTTGTTGGATGAAACTTGGATTCCTCAGTATGATCCCGAGCCCAAACAAAAGTCGATACAGTGGATAAACAAGTGTAAAGGCTCCCAAAAAAAATTCAAAGTAGAAACGTCGGGGTCGGAGATTACTGCTACCATTTTATGTGATAGCGTTGAAATATTATTAATGGATTACATGCCAAAGCGAGCAACAATTAACGGCCAGTCCAAGTATGCTAATTTGTTGAGTCAGACGCGTGAGGCAGTCGCACAGAAGAGACGTGGGAAATTAGCGCACCAAGTGCTATTTCTTCAAGACAACGCACCTGTTCACTCCGTGCGGCTTGCGGAGGATGCCTTAAAAGCTAATGGATTTACAGAAATTGGCCATCTTGCTTACAGTCCGGGCCTGGCTTCCAGTCACTTTTCTTTTTTTTTTATTTAAAAAAAGATTTACGGTAACGAGGACTTTTAGACGATAGTGAGATGAAAGCGGGAAGCCGTTTTGAAAGTGAAAGGTGTATTTCACTTGAGGGAGACTATATTGAAAAGTAAAAATCATAAAAGCTTAAATTTGTTTCATTAGGAAAGTACTTTAATTCAGCCGCCCTCGTCTAGTCCATATGTTACTTGCTGATCATTTTCGTTTGTATTATGCATACTTTTTGTTCTTTTGTTTTACAAATAGCAACAAAAAATTTTGCGAAGTTTTTAGCAAGAAATTTTTTAAATAGAAATGCCATAAAATCGACTTTTTGTAAGGTCAAAATCGCTTTAGACGCTCGAAAGGAATTTCACTTTCTTGTATACACACATACATATTATATAAAAAGATACGTAAATAAATATGTTTTACTACGCAGAACGATTATTGTAATTTTATTATTTTACTGCTCTCTTAATATAAATAAACAAATACATAAATATATGCGCGAAAAAAAAGTTTCCAATGTAAAATGCTGAACTTGAAGACGCGCCTGAGTTTCCGGAAAGATTTCCTAGTTCATACATAAACGTAAATTGATACGCAGCGCACGCAGGTGATTCTAATAAAGCAATAATGATGGCAATATATTTACATGGTAATTCATTGTAGTCGAGTGATATACAGACATATACATATATACGCGTACGTACATTAAATTTAATGTAAGTAAAATAAATATGCGTAACAGGTGGCTACGCTGCGAGAGAAATACTTAAAAAGAAGAATAAAGTTAAAAAAAGAAATAAATAATAATAATAATATCTACATATATCTATACATAAATATATAAAAATAAATGTTTGTTTGTTGGTGACGCTAAAGCTCGAGACAGGCTGGACCAATTTTGATGGAGATTTCAGAGGTTATACGCTGAAGTTTTGGGAAGGTTGAGAAATAAATAAAAACGTTACACTTTTCCTGAGGAGAAGTCGGCAAATTTGGTTACTTCCAAAAAGCAACTTTTTTCCAAACAACTTTAATTTTTTTTAATATTTTTTGTTTTTTTTTTTAAATATTTTTTTTTGCTTTGTTTCTATTTCCTTTTTTAAATCTATTACAAAAAAATAATTTTTTTTAGGAGAAAAGTAGCTGGAAGTGTTTGACATAAATCTGGATATGCCATGTTTTTCACACGGCCAGTTATACGTGACGTGTTGATCATCTTCTCTGCACATTTACGCGCCGGAGCAGAAAACAAAAAAAAAATGAAAAACAAATAAAAATTTTTGTGTTAATGTTGCGTTACATTGAAAAAAAATTTAATGAAATCGTTAATAAATAATTTTCAACACACTATAAATTCAACTTTCGTTTTTTTTTTTTCAAAAAATTATCTTTTCAACATCTCCATTAATTCAATCCTGAATAGTCTGAAAACAGTCTGTATAGAAGCTGCTGCAACCATAAAATTATGCTTAGAAAGTCTACTGAGTTGCAGAAAGAGTAACGCGGAATAAGTCAGACTGCTCAGGCTATCAGGTGAGGAAATTCCTCAGAGAAATGTATTATGAGCACTCCTTTGGTCAATTGTTGCAAACGAGCTGCCACATATGCAGACGACGTGCATACATAGCTCTAGCCGTGAAGGGTAAGTTTCTAGACAACTTAGAAACGTGATGAACAAGAAGGTACAACGATGCTGCGTTGAAGCCCCGTTGCTCTAAAGAGCATACCAATGTGGAGCAGAGAGTAGAAGGTCAAACCAATCTGGCGCTATGGTTCTGTGGTATGGTGTGCAGCAGCCAGAAAGATCTCATAAAGAAAATCATTGGAACGAAGCAGCCAATAGCAAGAGCTCTAGAACTACTTCTATCACCTATCGACATTGCAGTGAAAAACACTGCACCGCACTAAGCTATGAGATTGGAAGCGTTAGGTGAATTATCTACAAAAACTTTCGGTCAAATGCCCAAAAGCAAGGGAATGGTGGTCAAAAAATATCACATACGTGTTTTCAAAAATTTCGCGAATTTAGTGTTTTGTTTTCTAAAATTATTTATTTATTCATGAATATCTATTTTGTACCCTTCAAAGTAATCCCTATGAGACATTATACACTTGTGCCAACGGTTTTTCCAATCTTCGAAGCACTTAAAAAAATCATTTTTTTTATTTTGTTCAGCTCCTCCTTCGATGCCGTCTTTATCTCATCAATCGTAGCGTAACGTCGTCCTTTCATGGGCCTTCTTAGTTTAGGGAACAAGAAAAAGTCACAGGGGGCCAGATCTGGGGAATACGGTGGCTGCAGCATCATTAGTGT